GATGGTGAGGAGTGTGGCCAAGGCCTCCTGCAGTGGTACTTTGTGTACTACTTGATATTTTAAAATTATAATCATATCTTACTTTCACATACACATACTGCATAGCACACACCATAGACACATACACACACACACATGCCCCACACTGTACTTGGATTAAATATGAAAACTAACAGCACAGAAAGCTATACATGTTATCCTGGTAATAACTTTTGCAATGTGCACAGGATTACTTAATTTAATTAAAGAGCTCCTATAAATGCAGAAAAAAAAAGGATGAATAACCCAATAAAATGAGCAAACAATATAAATAGGCAAGCCACAGAAGAGAAAACTTTATTTAAAAAAGAGTTGTAAACAAAACACAGATGAAGAGATCAAGGTAGCAAAATGTCATTTTTACCCACCAGACTGGCAAAAATTCAAAAGGGCAATGGCATCTAGCCTGATGTTCACGTGGGAAATGGACATTCTCCAAGAAAGTGCAAGTTGCTGCTACCTTTTTGGAAAATCATCAGGCGGTGTATACTAACATTCAGACTACGCATTCTCTTTTATCCAGCAATCCCGATTTGAGAATCTACCTTATACCAATAACGGCAGCAACATATTAGGATACATGCAGAAGGCTGTTTGTTGTGGCACAACTTACAGTGACAGAAAAAGCTGGAATAGGGGAATGACTGTATAACATATGTGGCTACTGAAAAGTATGGACTATATCTATGTATGTATTGACTTGGTATAATATATATCATATATACACATACATATATATGTATTCTCAATATAAATGTATATATTAATAGACAGCCACTACTACTTTAGAAGCATGAGTTTTAGAGAGAAATGGAAGGAAGGAAAGAAAGTAAGAAGGCAGGAAGAAAGGGGGAGCGCAGGAGGGAGGGAAGGAAGGAAGATTGATGGCTCACCAAATATTAACTTTGCTCCCTAAACCAGAAGCCGGTTGCTTCTGGGTCTGTGTTCCCAGTCATGGCAGCCCGCCCCCAGGCTCAGTGTAAACCAATTTGAGAGGCACAGTGTGTTATAATATAAAGCAGGCAGATGGTGCCTTGGGGGAAGCAAGGAGATTCATATCAAATCTCAAGTAGTAAATGTCCGGCTGCCCTCTGGCCTGGCCTGGCCAGCTAAAGCTGGTGGCTTGTGTTTGTTCCTAAAGCCACACAAGAGGGACAGTGATGAAACGGAGCACCCTAGGGGCAAGAATGCGCAGAGTAAGGTATTTGGCAACTTTACTCTTAACGAAGGGGGCAAAGGACCTACATAAGGACATACATTTAAGCTGAGACAGAATATTTGCTTTGGAATGTTTGAAGGGCTGCGCTGTGGAGGAGGCAACCTAACAAACAGCGCCTTAGAAGTAAGACTGAGGACAGAGAAGTTTTAAGGAGGCAGATTTCAGCTCAGAATAAGCAAACCCGCACTAACTCAGATTCCTTGATCCTTAGCTTTCTCTTCGGTGGAATGAGCATAACAGCAGTACGCCTAACGGTGACATAGAGATGCAGTGAGGATCAAACGGGCAAAGTGCAAGCCAGCAATCTGTGAACCGGAAAGCAGCGGTCCCCAGTTTGGCTGGTGTTTAAAATGACTTGGAAAGTTAAAAAAATATCCTGATGCTCTGTCTTGGCTGCACCCAGATGAATTCCACCATAACCTCCAGAGGTGGGGCTCAGATATTGGTAAGCTTTAAAACTCCAGGCGATTCTATTGCATAGTTCCACTGGGAATCAGTGATTGAAAATAATCATTAGTTGGATTCCAAGTGGTTCTAAAAGTAGATTTGACCTGAGATGCATCTGGGGGCCAATTAAAAAAAAACATTAATCTAAGAATTGGAGCTAAAAATAAGAGTTGAGCAACTCTGGAATGAAACAGACCACTGGAGGGAAACAGCCAGTCAATACCATGATGAACAGTGAAGACAGTTTAAGTAACGTTTGTCTGCTTATAGGACCATAATAAGCAATTCAGGAGAAGCCAGCCTCACATCTTTTCCCAAAAAGATCCTAGCTGGGAAGGAAGCAAAACCGATGGAGTAGAGCTTTCTGTACTTCAGGCGGGCCCCGAACAGCCCTCAGGATACCTCTACATCATCTGTGGGCTGCTTTTATTGCGTGTGATTTTATTATCCATTTTTATCACGGGCCTGTCATTGACTGAATATACCCATTAAATAATTAGAGTCTGGAGAATGATTCTTAATGACAGGCCACAGGGTACTTACTGCTTTTGTCCATTTCTAGCTGGTTCTAGTTATATGAGTGTGGCCAGGCCGAATGGACAGGGGTGACGGTGCCTAACAAAGATAATGCATAGCAGGGGAGAGAGGTGGGAGGGGCACCGGCAAGCATAAGAAGGAGAACAGATCAAGTCAAGCTTCTACTTTTCCATTCCCGCTCCCCAGTGGTCCTCCACTCCAAAATAAAAATCAAGCTAAAACCCCCAGACTTGACTGCCTAAGTCCAGGAGGGGAGAACAGTGATTAAAAGCAGCATCTGCCGAAAAGCTGATGAATTCTAGATGAATCATCCAAGTGACTCAGCAGCCAGAGAAAAGCTTGTCTAGAGCATCTGGGCAAGGGAGAGGGGGTCATGCTGTGTGTGCTCTGTGGTCAGTCCTCCCTGCGATTGGCAGGCCCGGGGCTGGGCCTTGGGCTTCAAGAGAGGCAAGGTCCAGAAGGCCAAAGGGCTGGGCGAGGATCCGCAAACAGCGGCAGGGCAGGCGGCCATAAGCGTGGAGCTCACCGGAAGTGACTAGCTGCCTTCCAACACCCGAAGGGCTAACGAGGAGGATGGATTGGGTTTTCTCGGCGTGCTTCCAGAGGGCAGGACTGGGCCTGGGGCTAGCCCTTGCAGGAGCCAGGCTCTAATTCAATGAAAGAAAAACCTAACTCTGTAGACAGCTTTATGAGACAATTGCTTGCAAAATGCAGTGAGGACCTAGTTTTGGGGGGGATTCAAACAGGGGCTGGGTGGCCATCTGGTGGGAATGGTGGTGGTGGCGGGGTTTAGAATTCAAATACTATATGGGGACTGAAACAGTTGATCTCTCTGACCTACTTAGAATATTCAAAATCCAGACATGAATTTACGGTGCTTTCGAAATTCACACTTATTTTCCTTAAAGGTTAATGTGAGCCTTGTTTTCTCAGTAGCTGGAGTAATCAAGTAATCATTCCCAGGATGCCACAGTGGTGGCCCTGAATTACGGTACTTTCGCCCAAATCCCTTCCATCTCGTCTCCCTTCTCTACTTCAGCTGACTAAGGCAGCTCTCCTTTCTTGTCTTCCACAATCCGATTTTTAAAAATACAATTATCACAGATTTATGCCTCCTATGCCAGAGGCTGGGGGAGTCACAGAACAGAAAAGTTACCAAGAGCGGGCTCAGAAACAATTCTTCTGACTCAGGGCATTGACAACACTGAGGAGGCAGTTGCCACAGAAAATGTAGCTGTTACTGATAATAGACCTTTTTGTTTTTTCCCCCAAGGAAAACAAAGTGAACCCTTGGGGGAGGCATATTGCTCCAAATTCTTACTGAATTTTAAAATTTTCTTTTGGGTCCATGATCTCACACTTGGCATTCCCTCAGGTTAGGTTGAAGCAGACATTTGAGATGCTACATACCAGATTCCTTGTTGAATCTGAGGCTTGGAGGGCAGAGTGATTGGTTCAAGGTCGCCCAGAGCCTCAGGGCAAGGGTGAGACTGTAGTGAGAAATCCACGCACCCACCTCAGCGTTCCCCTTCTCCTGCCATTTCTCCACAGGCCTAGAAGCTCCCCCCTGAAAAGAGATCAGGTCCTGGTTGCCCCTGGACCCTGGGCCTCAAGCTGTGTCTTGAAAGCTGTGAGCAGGAAAACTCGGCCCCTGACCAAGTCTTTTCCAAGGCTTGCAAAATCAGCTGCCCGAACCAGGGTGCTGAGAAACCCATGTGCCCCATCAGTGGGAAAACCACCCTCCAGCTGCTTGACATTTCTTCTGGTGCTCAAAGGGCCTGGGACCCAGTTGTGCTTTTCTCCAATAAGTAGTTATACCCGACGGGCTTCAGGGTTGGGGCCCTCCCTGCCAGGGGGTGGTGTGGTGGCTCTCATCTCTCTGTCCCATCAAAGCCCCCAGACAGAAGGAGGCCAGAAACAACCTTCCTCCTGGGAGCTGAGGGAACGTGGGCCTGTGGGGATGAGTGAGCCCTTGTAAACAGGACCCTTGCAAACAGGACCAGTGGCATAATCTGTGAGGCCTGGTGCAAAATGAAAATGCGGAGTCCTTTGTTCAAAAACTAAGAATTTTAAGACTGTGACAGCTGTACCTCAAACCAAGTGAGAGGTTGCAAGGTCTGTGCCGGTGAAGACCACCCTACTTGGAGGGGCCCAAGTTGATAGGGACACAACTGCTTAAGGTCTAGGAATGGAGAAGTCAGGGAGGCCTTGTGGTTCCCCAAATGTATGCTCTGTGCATCCCTAAAAGCACATTTCTGTGTCGTTCTGGCCCCCAGGTCTGCCAAGGGACCCCCCCGGGTCATTGCGATGGTCCAGGGAGTGGTCGTTTTGCCCGTGCTACGTTTTCTTCTCCAGCACACCTCTCTCCATCTCACCCTCATCCTCCCTGATGCTTTTTAACTTAAGTGGAATAAGCAGAGGGGCGCAGGTGTGCAGTGAAAGATTAACGTTCAGTAGGGCAGGGGATCTGTTCTCCCTGGAGCCCTGGGGAGAGGGGCGCCCAGCTGTGCACGCTGGCAGGGGTGTCCCCTTGCAGAGGCGCCATACCCCATTAGCCCCCGGGCAGCACCCGGGTGCATCCGTCAGGAGCCCCACGGCCTTGACTGGGGACTCTGCCCCGCGGCCCCCCCCCACCCCCGCCGGGGTCTGGGCTGCCAGCCCCCCGCCCCTCCGCACCCCCTCCCGCGCCGGCTTCCAGAAAGCTCCCGGTGATCCCACAGCATTCTTTGGGCCTGAGTCATGCAGGTTTATAGCCAGCCCCCAAGGGGGTGTGTACGAAGCCGAGCTCTATAAATATGGGCGCCTCACTGTGCTCACCAGGCTGCGTAGCCAGGAGGAGCGCACGGCGCGGCCGTTGCTAACTGGTGAGATGTCCCCGCCTCTCCTCTCCTGAGAACGGCCCCACCGGCTCCGAGGGTCGCGCTGGGTGGCCGCCCGGCAAGGAGAGGACATCGCTGGTAGTCACAGGGTTGTCAGAGCTGCGCTTTGGATGGAGTCGGAGGGGCCAGGGAAGGGGGGTGGCCCAGGGCCCTGCACCGGGCAGCCGGGCGGGAGGCCGGATTGCGGGGGGCACTGCGCCTTTGTACTCTTCAGCTCCAACCACAATTCTGTGGGCGTAAATAAGACAGGTGTAACGATCTTCCTTTTGCAAAGATGGGGAAATAGACTTGGAAAGAGACAGATGCCCATTGCCGACGTCCCAGCCTAGTGAATGGCTGAGCTGGCCTTGCTGCAGCATCTACCCGGGAAACGTGCTGCTGATTCCAAGGGTGGTTGTTTGCTTGCGCGCATGAGTCATCTTGTTTGCTCCTGAATTCGCTTGTTCTCTTGGCTACTGTGTTTGTAAGTGTGATGTCTGGATTTACGTGTATGTTGTAACCGCTGAAATCCTACACTTTCTGTTTCCTACTGCACTGGAGTCCATCAGAGAAAGTCACGCGACCTCCATCAGACCTCCGACATCTGATTTAACTTACTCATTCTATAGATGATCATCTGAGGCCTGGAGAGGTTTAGGACCCTCTGCCAAGATAAACAGCAAATAGCTGTCGGCATTGGGATTAGAATAGAAACCTTGACCTTCCAGAATTTCTGGACCGAAAAAAAAAAAAAAGAGGCCTATTATTATTACTTTTTTTAAAAGAAAGAGGCCAGGAATCTAAGAGTAAGCAGATACTATAAAAGGGTGCTCATTATAATAGTGGGAAATCACAGACAATTTAAAGGCCCAAACTTGTGGTATGGCAAAATAGAGGACATTAAAAAATGTGCTCTTATACAGTCATCGAAATGTGCTTTTAAAGAATATTTGAAGACAGTGGATGTAAAGGATCTGAGTGTATATAGGTACATAGAAAACAGATGGCAATATACCTCACTGCTAATATTTACCTCTGTATCTTGTGAATTGCTGGTGAATTATTTTCTTATTTTCCTTTTTGGTTTAGTTTCTACATTTGGGGAGGCAGGTAGGAGCTTGGCTCGGGCTTTAAAAACCCTGCTGCTGACGAGGTTAGTGGCTTGTCCAGTCAGAGCTGTTGGCAGCCAGGTGCCCAGGCCAGGAGATGAGAGGGGAGGAGTCGGTGCAAACGGAGAGCAGTCGGGCCCCGCAGTGGCTGTTCTATTGTTGGCCTTGGACCGGCCACATGGACGTCACTGGCAAGCTTGTGAGAAAGGCAGAGTCTGAATCAGAGGCAGCATCATAACAAGACCCCCAGCTGATCCGAAGGTGCTTTGAAGTAGCTGATCGTTGCACTGAGGCAAAGCCGCATGGTCAGGGTGTGCCCGTCAGGTTCTCTGTCTCCCTCCAAACATGCCATCTCCTTCTGCATCCCCAGTAGATGTTGCCAATGCTCATGCTTGCTCCTCAGTCCAGTTTTGAAGTAGTCAGAATTTATCATGATTGTGGAAGACCCCTGTGTTTACAGAACCCATTCATACCCCTGAGGTCCATGTCAGAGCCACTTCACAGGTGAAGAAACAGGCTCAGAGATTTGAGTGACTTGGTGTCAAGGGAAGGACGCTGGCTGGGGGTTGGGAGGGCTGGGTGCTCATCCTAGGGATGTACCAGCGCACTGCATGCTTGGGGAGCCCAACCTGACTCTGGGTTCGGCCTCTCCTCTGAGGTGGAGAGGTTGGGCAGGAGGCTGATCTGTTTCCCAGCTCTGGGACTGAAGGATCCTCGGGGCCCCAGGGCTCCCGTGGGAGACCTGCTACTGGCTGCTGCATTTCCAGATGCCTCATCCAGAGCTCTTGCCTTTGGCCTCCCTGCCTCCCCTTTCTCCCGGACCCCAGGCCCCGTCTTCTGGTCTGAACGAACCTATTTCAGAGGCTGCTGTATGGACTTCTCACAAGCATGCGGGGACCTCTCTGGGAGAGCCGCTCCTTCCGGGCTCTATGCCTCTGGCGTGACAAGGCTCTGTCCCTGCTCGAGGCATGTCAGGCCTCAGTGAGCAGCCAGGGCACAGCCCGGGGTGCCTTCTGGCTCAGACACCCACCCCGCCTGTGGGGAGGCGGTGTTCCTCTCCCACACTGCTCCTTTGCTCCGTGTGGCTGATTCGGGGACCACCGCTCGGCTGCCTTCCTGATCGCTTTTCAGGAGTTCAGGAGAGGCTGGCTTTATGGCTGTTCCACCAATGCCCAGACGGGCCTGCTGCGCTGAGCGCAGTTTGGGATGTACATAATTTCAGGAAGGGGGACCCCACCTCCTGGCTTTGTTTCGGGGAAATGGGTGAGTCAGATAAGGAGCTGGTGGGGTGGGGGTGTGGGGGAGGTCGCGGGGGCGGGCTTTCTGTTTTATGCAACTTTAGCTTCTGGGAAAGGGTCCATTGTGTAAGACTGGGCCGGTCTGGGCTCAGGGCAGCTGGCCAAGTGGTGGCAGGACACACTGCTGTGGGCTGAGGGAACAGACCATGTGAAAGGGACTTGGCAGAGCAGAGGGGCACGTCCTCCGGAGGGACTTCTCCTGGGGACTCATGGGGCCCAGTACATTGCCTAGCCCCCGTCCTCCCTGAAGACCACTGTCTTCCTCTCCTGGCTTTTCTCTTTAGTTATACCCCAAGCCATGCAGCCTGGCTTCAAGTTTCATGCTAGGGATGGCAAATGGATTGGTTTTCCTGTGCTGATCCAGTGATTGCTGTCACTGCCTCAGTCCCTTGAGAAGCAGTTTTAGATGGTATTGAGGCTCCGTGGGGAAAAAGGCTGATTGATTGGTAATGCCTGCTGTGGCCAGAATTAGTGAGGCACGCACAGGGGGGCTGTGGGCCCTGGGGATGCCCTCCCCACCTTAGGATGACAACAGGAGGATCCAAGAGAGATATTTACAGGGTTTGTTTGAATAGAGCAGGTGTCATCAGACAGACGCCCTTTCTGGACGCAGACAGCAGGCGCACCCGGCTCTGGCACGTTCAGCAGTTATGGGGGACGAGGAGGAAAAGGGCTTGGACCGGAGCCCCATGGCTCTGACTCCAGACTCGTCATTTCTTCTGAATTAAGCTGCTGTGGTAGGGATCCTCCCTGTCCCGCCGCCTCCACTTTGTTTTGAAGGTGTCCAGTGGCAAGTCTCACCCTTTCTCCCAATTTCCCCGGGGAAAAAAACGCAGTGATGCCAGCCGAGGGCAGAGCCTCCGCAGGAGCCGGAGCTGCCGCAGCGGCAGGCTGGGCCGGAAACCGGTGGGCTGGCTGGCTGTTACCATGACAGTCTCCTGTTCTCTGCAAACAGAGGCGTGCTAGGATTCCAGAGTTGGAGAAGGAGGCAAGATGAAGGCTCTGCTCCTGCTGGCGGGGCTGCTGCTGACCTGGGAGAATGGACGGACGCTGGGGGACACCATCTCAGACAAGGAGCTGCAGGGTAAGCCATCCGCGTGCCCCATGCGCACTTCTCTGCAGGCCTTACACGTTGAAGACCACTCACCACCTGCATGGGACCTGATGAGCTCCTCCTGGACCCCTCCGCAGCCTCTTCTCCCGGCCTCCGGGCCTGGGCTCTCTGTGATCAGAGTGGCTTCTCAGCATTTTCAGGTGTACCCCAAGCCATTTCTGGCGGCTGCATCCCGCCGCTGTATCCCGCTGCTGTCCCTCTCCCAGGCCTCTCAGCCTGACATCCACACCCTGGTGGAGGTCTGTGAAGCCTGGACCGCGTTAGCCTTTGGGCACCTCCCATTTTGGAGCTTCCACAGACTTACTACCTGTATCCTGCAGCTTTGCACCTAGAAAACCAATGCTTCATGTTCAGGAGAGGGGAACAATCATTCAGCTGAGGGCTTGCCATCCGCCAGAGCCCAGCTGGTGGGCCCTCTTCTGCCAGGCTCTCCTGAGGATTTTGCTCGCTCTGCGTTACTCTTGCCCTGCTCGCCGACCAGTTCTCTGGGGCAGTAGTTAAAAAAACAGGCTTTGAGCTCAGACCTGCGTGTGAGTCTCTCTCTGCACCTCCCTAGCTGTACAACCCCGCCCCATGCATCCCCCCACTGCGCTTCTTTGCTTATCGGTGCAGTGGGGATGGTGCTGGGATAAAGTGTTGAATAAAAGGCACGGAAGCCAAGCACAGCTCAGTGCTTGGCCCAGGACAAGCACCAGAGAAGTGTATTTCAGGGACACTGTGTCATTACATTTGTCACACAGTGCTGGGTCTTGATCACAGTCATCTTGAAGAATGGGGCTATTAATTCATCTTTGTTTCCGTGTCACCAGATATTGTGCATTTGAACAAAGAAGTTGTTCAAATGTTTGTTTAAACCAGATTCTGGAAAGACTTGCATCCAAAATAATAATGTATATTTTGATGCTTAAATGCTTGCACTTCCAAGATTTTTTTTTTTTCCTTGGAAATGTCCTTTTGCAGCTGGGGCTCCTCCGGGGTGTGCCCTCTCCATGGTTTGCATTCCTCAGCAGCGGGGTGTAGTGGGTTCTCGTACGCAATGAGACCTGCAAAGAGAACGTGCATCAGGGCAAAGCTGGGGCTCAAGGGTTGCCCGCCAGGGCGCTTCCAGCTTCGACAGCCCCCAGACAAACTGGCCTTTCTGGCCATTCCCGCTAGCATTCCAGGACTGTGTGCCCAGCTCTGCCTCTTCCTGTTGTCTCATTCTGCCTCCCTGCGCTTCCCTTGCAGAAATGTCCATCCAGGGAAGTAAGTATGTTAACAAGGAAATTAAAAATGCCCTCAAGGGGGTGAAACAGATAAAGTCCCTAATAGAACAAACAAATGAAGAGCGCAAGTCACTGCTGGACAACCTGGAGGAAGCGAAGAAGAAGAAAGAGGTGAGGGGGAGCCGGGTGACCTTGCCCCGCCTTCGCTGGCCAGGAGGGGGCCGCCAGCACTGCCAGGGCCCTGCTCCATGGCTGTGGCCACCCGTAGTCCTCCCAGGGCTGTGTCAGCCGATGTGGGGGATGCTGTTAAGAAATAAGAGAAGGTTTATTTGCTTTTGAAAGCTTCAAAGTGGGGGATCTTGGGTCTGGTTTTGTTACAAGGCTGGCCCAGGGCCTGAGGCCCAGATTCACTTAAACAGATTTTTCTAAACCCTGACTATGTGCAAGCCCCAAGGTGGGCTTTGGATAGGGTCTCCCGTAGGTGAGGAGGCGGATGGTGCCCTGCCCTCAGGAAGTGTCTAGTAGGGGTGATCCCTTTGGGGTTATGGCAAGCACACACTTTATTGTCCCGTGTTACTCTAGAATTCTAGAGTACTTCATACAGACGCACCCAAGTTGGGTGTCTTAGCCTGTGCTTAATGACTCAACAAAGCTAAAACACTGTAATTCAATAAACAGCTTATTTAAAAAATCAATAGTCTCCTTAAGGGTATCCTAAAAACCTACTCCCATTGCCACCCTAATGAAAGGGATGCTAAAATGGGGCCATCTGCCACCTTCATGATTCAGAATGCATAGTGAAAGCACTTTAAAGGCCCTGACAAGTTCTGCAGTAAAGAAAGTCATGTTACTTCATTACTTCATTTAACCCAGTGTTTTCCAAATCAAATTGACTGGGGAATCCTGTTTTTTTTTTTTTTTTAAGAATCAGGCATTTTTAATGTGAAAAATTCTTATTGTATTTAAAACTTACTAATAAACAACCCTTGTAATGCTGTACTTATCTCCCCTTTTTATGTCCCAAAATTCGCTTCTCTTCTAGTTTTGAGAGCATAGTTAATTCCAGTATTTTTTTTTCTTTTGCCATAAATGAACATTCTAACAAGTATGTATAGGCTTATGGATTTTTCCTTTATTGCAGGAATTCACTGGGATAGGTGCTTATAATGACTGGGTCACATGACACGGAGTAGTAGTTTTCCTAGTTGTTGGGACTTTGATTTCAAAACTTGCCTATTGCCATGTGTGCCAGCGACCATGGTTGCAATAGAAAAATGAGATTGAGGGAGTCTCTGGAAGCCTTGGAAAATGACATTTAGACACCAGAGCTGAGAATAAAAACCAAGGTGTAAGTGAGGAAAATGCAGGGGTAAAGACTAAGTGCAGTCAGAGAAAGATACCTGCATGCATTCTGATGGCCAGGAAGACTGGAGAGAGGGACAGCTGGGTCTTGAAGATGAGAGGGCTTAAAGCTAGATGGGAGGGAATTCCATGGAGGCCAATAAGGGAACAGGTGGGCCAGAGCAGGGGTGGAAATGAGCAACTGTGTGAGCAGACGTGGGAAGATGGTGGAAGACCAGGCCCCTCGTGCATGGACAGGGTGAGGCCTGTGGCTATTGTGTGACTAACCTGGCCTTGTGTGCTCCCGTAGGATGCTCTGAATGATACCAAGGATTCAGAAATGAAGCTGAAGGCATCCCAGGGGGTGTGCAATGACACCATGATGGCCCTTTGGGAGGAGTGCAAGCCCTGCCTGAAGCAGACCTGCATGAAGTTTTACGCACGCGTCTGCAGAAGTGGCTCCGGGCTCGTTGGCCACCAGGTGAGACAGGGAGACACTCCTTGAGACAGCCTAGGCTCTGAGTGGGGAATGAGGAGAAGTGAATCTCTGGAATACGCATCTTTGTTCTGCACCCAGTTCCAGTGCAAAGGGGGCTTCCCACACCAAACAATTCTGGCACCAGCTGGATGTCCTACAGTTCAACTCAATTCTGACCCTGTCTGCTAGAGATAGTGTCCAGTCCCAAGGTTAAGTGCTCAGTCCTACAAGGCTACCCACCCCCAACTTCAAGTCCAGGGGTTGTTATCTGTGCTTTTGAACCCCTGGCTACAGATTGATGGCTTCCACAACTCCTTCTTTGGGTTCAATTAATTCGCTAAAGCAGCTCACAGAAATTGTAGAAACATTTAATTACTAGAACACTAATTTATCATCAAAGGGTATAACCCAGGAGTGGCTAGGTTGGGGAGATGCATGCTTAGGATGAGGGATGGGGAAGGGGTGGGGAGCTTCGTTGCTCTTGCCGAGCACACCACTTCTGCATCTCCCTATGTCCCAGAAGCTCCCATTACTAGGCTTGATTGGCTAAATCATTGGCCATTAGTAAATGATTCAACTTCTTGTCTCTCAGCCTTCCCTGGGAATCACAGGGAAGGACTAAAGAGTTCCAACACTCTGATGGTGGTTGGTTCCCTTGGCAACAAGCCCCCAATCTTAGGTGCCTTCCAAATGTCAGCTCAGTAACAACAAGACATCTTTATTGCTCTCATCAGGAAATTCCAAGGGTTTTAAGAACTGTTTGTCAGGAACAAGACAAGACCAAACATGTCTTTTATTAGAAATCACAGTATCAGAATTTAATTTCACATGCCAGATTTAATTGATTAGCTCTGGCTGCATTTGGGTTCAGAGGTGCCATGATCAATTGGTAATGTCTGCCACGAGTGCACAAACTTGGAGTCATAAAAAGCACCTGTGCCAGGTATTTGCCACCTCTTACAAGACTCTCATCAACAATAATTAGCTGGACAATGTAACAAATGGTTTTGTGGTCTGGCAGAGCCCTGTGTCCCCTTGGGCAGAAGGAATTCAGAATTGTTCATACATTAAAATTGACCCGTCCAGCCCTGCAGGCCTTGTTCTGTTGGGACTCATGCACTTGGGGACTGAAGGCTCATCAGTTGGCTCCTGGCTGAGCAGGGGTGGGGAGGGGCCCATCAGTGTCCAAAGAGGATGGCAGACTAGCTCAAGTGATGGGCCTTGTGATACTCTTTGTGTCACAGGTCTTCCTAAACTCTCCCATTGGGGTGGGTGACATGAAAGGGTGTTGGCCTGAGTTCACAGAGACTGGGGAGCCTTGGGTCATGTGCTAGGTGAATCTGAGGACACCAGGGTGCAGTGAGGGGCCATGCTGGGCCCGTCTCCACAGAAGGGAGGGGCAGGAGCCTGGAGCCTTAGCGAGCTTCTGCTAACTGTTCTCTGCTCCGCCTCCCCAGCTCGAGGAGTTCCTGAACCAGAGCTCTCCCTTCTACTTCTGGGCCAACGGGGACCGCATCGACTCCCTGGTGGAGAATGACCGGCAGCAGACCCACGCGCTGGACCTCATGCAGGACAGCTTCAACCACGCATCCAGGATTATGGACGAGCTTTTCCAGGACAGATTCTTCACGCGGGAGCTCCCGGACCCTTACCACTACCCGTTCTTCTCCTCATCCCCAAGGAGGCCTTTCTACTTTAATCCAAAGTCCCGCTTTGCCCGGAGCATAATGCGTTTCCCTGTGTATGAGGACATGTTCCAGCCCTTCTTGGACATGATACACCAGGCTCAGCAGGCCATGGATGCCCACCTCCATAGGGAGCCCCACCAGTTCCCAATGATGGAGTTCCCAGGAGGTCAGAAAGATGTCTCATTCTTCCTACAAAGGGATGGGGACCACCTGTTTCTTGGGAAGACCATTGGATGCTAAGAACCATGCCAGGGGCTTGGTGTGTGTCATCTCGTGTCACCCCAGCAAACCTGTGAGGGTGGTATTATCCCCATTTAAGGAGGAGAAAACATGACAGAGAGGTAAAGGTTTCACAGCTGACCAAGTGGCACCCAGTCAAGTCTCACCCTGTAGGACTTGGACCCCTTTCAGCAACTGGTGGGCATGACTTTGACTCTTTAGAGTATCAGACCTTCTTGTTTTGGGAACTCAGGTGGCTTTATGTGGATGCTGTGCATATATGTTGGCAACAAATTATACAATCAGTCCATAGTACAGTTAAGAAGGCTACTCATGGCTGTAACCTTAGGGCCTGGCAGAATGTGGGCACATAATGAATATTTTTTTTGAATGAATGAAGTCTAGTAGGGATATGAAAAGCCAATACTTTGGGAACTGATTTCCTTCATTGAACCAGTAGATATTTGTTGGTCAACACCATCCCCTAAATGCAACAGTTTGGCACCAGGGTTTCGCTTAAAATGGATTGGAAATCTAGAAGGTTTGAATCGAACAAGTATCTGTGATATATTCGTAGTGGGGGAGCCCTGTGTTAGAAGGAGGCTCAAAGGAGCACCTCATTCCTGCCTTCAAAGGGCTTGCTGATCAAGTAGGGAGAGAAATGAGCCAGATAAAATGCAGAGCGGAACAGGTTAGGATGCCAAAGAGAAGTGCAAATGGTGGAGGGAGTGTGGAACAGAGAGCCCTCATCACATGGAGAGGGTGGAGGGGGGCGTGCCAGGCTGGGAGTACCTGAGAGGCACCCCCTGTTCCCTCCATGAGGAGCCCTCATCAGAGGCCTGTGTCTGTAGGCAAACAACCGGTTCTACCCACCCTGCCCACAGAATCATCTCCAAGGTCCAAACAGCGTGGAAACGTTCAGAAATCGGGGTGGCTCATGAAGGCATTGCTCTGTATGGTTCCTTAGCCTGACTCCCCCTCCCTCATGTGTCCCCAGAAGACAACCGCAATCACTCCGTGTGCAAGGAGATCCGCCACAACTCCATGGGATGCCTGAAGATGAAGGACCAGTGTGACAAGTGTCAGGAGATCTTGTCATTGGGTGAGTCTGGGAGCCCTGGGTCCCTGGTCCCTTCCCGGGGCTGCCCTCACAGGGTCAGACAGGTGGCAGTTCAAACTGAGCTTCTGCTGCTTGCTAACTATGGCCCACTCTGCCTGGGCCCCTCATCTACAGGCGAGGGTTAAGATGTAAGGCTGTCCCTGAAGTAGGGAGACAGTACACAAGGCCAGCACGTGGCCTGTAGGCAGGCAGAGGGAGGGCCCTCTGTGCTTGTTTAAAAGGCCGTCAGCCTTTGATTTCCCCCACTTACTCTTTTCCCAATGGCCAACCATAGTAGATAGACATCCTCATTTTTCCCTATAGGTGATGAAATTTAAATGGTATATATGCTGTCCAACATTCAGTTACTGCATGCCAGGCACTGTTCTAGACACTTTGCAAACATCTATTTATTTTTCTGTAAGACTCCCAAGTGGGGTCCAGTTACTGGTCTACCTCACAGAGGTGGAGAGTCGGCCGTGGACAGGTCAGGTGACTTCCCAAGGTCACGGACATCTCTGTGTTGGGGAGCTGGATGCTGGGGATGTGTTCTTAACTACAGTTTTGCCTTCTCTCCCCCAGAACACTAGGGATGCTGGGAGTTTCCCAACAAATGCTCTCTTAGGCCAGCCGGTCCTCGAGGCAAAAGAAATACTGCCCTTCAGCTCTTCCCCTACGTTTTATCTGATCTAATCATTGACTAGTCTCTTTCTACTTTGAGATAACAGCCATAAAGGCATCTAGAGTAGTTCCTGGGCCCCAAGAGTCTGTGCTCAGAAAGAGTCCAGTGTTCCCCTTGTACAGTGGATCGATCTTGTGGCTTCGCTTTCTCAGTACGCTTGGGTTTGCCAGGGCAGGCCTCAATATTCCCAGTCTCATTCCTGTAATTTTAGAAGCCACTGCAAAATGAATACAAGTGCTGTGAGAGGCTGATGTGTTACATGTGGATTAGGACCCCACGCAGCCTCTTGGGCTTTTCCCATAAAATATCACAGTTAGAAGAGCCTTACTTACCTACTGCCTCCGCAAGATGAGGGCCGGAGGAAGAGGCATGCAGATGCCCAGGTCGGACTGGCAGCCCGGTCACTGACCACAGCTACCTGAACAGCCGCCTTCTTTTCTACATTGAGGAAGACTTACAACCTCTTTTTAAGGTGCTTGCATCCATATGAGCATGTGCTGCCCACGAACTCTAGTCCAGGGCTTCTCAAACTTGGCACTACTGACATTTTGGGCCAGACCGTTCTGCGTCGTGGGGGGCCGTGCACTGCAGCATGGTCCCCAGTTGAGATCCACTGCTTGAGACTGTATCTCAGTTCTCAACGGCTTTTCTGATTTTTTAATTATTCGCTGGTAAAGGAGGTAAGGTTATTATTCATTGTATATCTTTTTCAACCTGGCTTCTTATAAGTTACTCTATTTCTTGCCCCACCTAACATTTTATTCTATTTTAATACAAATGATTACATTTAATACAGATGATTTTAGTATAATCATTTAATTTAAATGATCACCATTCTCAGAGTGCAAAGATCTCCTTTCCCTGACTTGCTTGGGTTTGATAACACCCTCCTTGGGGTATGTTTTGAAAAATTTAGGGAGAGAAAACCAGTAGTTTCTAAAGAGACAGTGGGTAGTTTCCAGCTCTTATCAATCTGACAAGCTGTGGTGGGCAGTCAGGGACCTAAAGGAATGAACACTATCTCCTCTGCTGTCCTGGCGAGCTTGGTGACCAGGCATGGTGGGCAGGTGGACAGGCTGGGGCTCCCAGCCACCAGGCTGCTGTGCTTGAAGCCCAAGGGTCCTGGCTAGCTCTGCTACGCATGTGTTGTTGGGGCCAGAATTTCCCAATCTGCAGACGTGCTCAAAAGATAAGCTTGGAGAGTTTTCCAGAGACTCAGTCTCAGGAGAAGCTTAGGAGGTAAAGTCCTGGGTCCAATCCTAGCCTCAGGATTGGTTCGTCCCATGACGCTAGACGAGTGGTTTATGCTGCGGCCCTCCATTTCATTATCGGTTATTCTGAAGTCTTAGAGATGATGCATCTCCAAAGCCCTTAGGAGAGGTCTGGTACACAGTGGATGCCACACAAATGGCTGCTGTAAGTAAAATCCCAGAAAGGGTTCATGGGGTCTAGGGCAGCGAGAGGAGCTCCAGGTCTGAGCATAGACTGAACTCAGTGCCTCCTAAAGGGTGGGCAGCACTGTGCATCCCCAGCTTCCAAAGAGACAGGATCTTGGACCTAAAGATCCATCAGCGATGCCATTAAGCACACTGTTGAGTTCCGCTGCCATCATTTTCCAGCGCAAGGCTTTCTCGGTGAAGCGGACCTGTGAATTTACGTTCTGGAGCGTGTTGTATTTTTGTCTGAGTGACAAGAAACGGTTTGCGCATCACCCCTGAGAGTGGTTCAGCTTTTGGGGCCCGGCTGTGTGACCTGATTTCCTTTCCTGTTGTCATGCTTTTTAGCTTTCCTTTCACATTTCTGCCTTGTTTTTTCTCGTGTTCGGGCAGACTGTTCGTCCAGCAACCCGGCCCAGGTCCAGCTGCGACAGGAGCTCAACAACTCCCTGCAGATGGCCGAGCGGTTCTCCAAGCTGTACGATGAGCTGCTACAGTCCTACCAGGAGAAGATGTTCAACACGTCCTCTCTGCTGAAGCAGCTCAACGAGCAGTTCAGCTGGGTGTCCCAGCTGGCCAACCTCACTCAGGGTGAAGAGCCGTTCCAGCTCCAGGTCACCATGGTGAGTCACGTCCTGAAGCTCGGGCCCCACAGTGTAGTCTGGCGGGGATGTGGTCCTCCTGTGGGGGTGAAGGTATTACAGGGGCACTTAGGCTTTTGACTGAGGGCCATTTGGCCTATGCAGAAACTTGTCACATGGAAGCCTCATCACCCAGTGGGGCCAATTGCCGTGACCCAGTTTACAGATGAGGAAAGTGAGAGAGCTTCAGCCGCTGGCCCAAGCAAACAGAGGTGGCTCACCCGGGCATTTCAACCTGTTTGCCCGGCTGTGGGGCCTGTTCTCTTCCCTCAAGGCTGCCCTGCTGCCCGCACCTTTTACAATGGCCCATGAATTGGTACATCACTGTCCACCAGCATTAGAAAGCTTCCCTCTAGCACTGGGCACTTTTTTTTTCTTCTTTCCCTGATTCCTTTCTACCACAGCCTGGCCAGTGGCTGCCCAAGGAAAACATGGTGGCTTGGAAAACAGTTGTTCTCTGTGGGCTCCCCCTGGGCTGGTCATTTGTGGATGGCATTTATACCTGCAGATGAAGGTCTGAGTTAGGGAATTTCTCCTCACCAAGTTACACAGATGTTGAGATTAGTCAAAAGGAAAGGGGCCAACTCTCCAAATTTGAGCCTGACTTTTGAAAAAATGAGTCTGCTTTGGCCCATGTGCCAGCCCTCCACTCACCTCTTGTCTTTCTAGGTGAGCTCCCACACTTCTGACCCCAGCATCCCCTCTGGCCTCACGAAGGTGATGGTGAAGCTTTTTAATTCCAACCCCATCACTGTGACGGTCCCGGAAGTGGTCCCCAGGAACAATCCTAAATTTATGGAGACCGTGGCAGAGAAAGCACTGCAGGAGTATCGCCAAAATCACTGGTGAGTCTGTGCCCTGGGTGCGGGCCTTCCAAGCCCATCCGGTCCTGGGATGTCAAGAACGGGCAGAGGACCAAGCCAGGGAGTGATGGCTCCTGCAGCCAGAGCCCCGGCGGGAGCCAGGAAATCATAGGTCGTTTTGACTTTCCCTGTGGACGGTGTTTTTTCTTGGTTGTTAAGATTATGAATGTTGGTTGTCTGCCTCTTGGTGAATTATCAAGGCCTCACCATCCACCCTTTTTTTCAGGGAGGAGTGAAATGTGAATGGTACTTTTCCACCCATGGGGACGTCTGACTCCAGTTGCCCCAAGATGAGCCACGTGCCCTACACGCAGCTCTGCATGTCCCCAAGTGACCAGCCCTGAGGCCCTCCTGACCCCCACCCAGCCTTTCCTCCTGCAGGACTCTGCACCCTAATTTCCCCCGCATGCCACTAACTCAATAAAACCGCATCATAATCGGAATGCCCTGGACAGCCCTCTTTCTGTGCTGCGGTTTTCAAGCCCCCACATGCCTTCATGTTGATATAGAAAAAGAAAAAAGAAAGAAAAAAAGCAAAGGCTGATGGTGTGGGAAGAATCATACAGTTGACAATGAGAATAATGTGACAATGAAGTTCATCCCACGAAGGATTTCTTGCTTCTAGGAAGGGAAATGTGTCCTTAATGCCGACTGAAAGAAATTTCTGAGAAGTGAATTCTTATCGTTCCATTATAAGACTGTTGACTATTCTGATTGGGGTGAGGGGATTCTCCTGAGGGGATACATTGGAGATCAGATAATACTAAGGCATACTGCATACTTTAATACATAATTGATATTTTCTTTATGGAAACTATAAACCTCAAAAGACAAAATAAGGCAATTTTCTATTTAGTTGTAAGAGCTCGGAACTCCTGTGGCACCTTCTTGACTGTGGCATTGTTTGTCCACTGTCAATCCATGCAACCTCTCTATCTTTACTTCAGCCACAGGAATTTCTCCTCTACTTGGGTTTTTCCTGATGATAAATACACCACGTTCTGAAACTTGGCTAGGCTGCAGTACCCTGTGCTGCCAGCAGGTGGCGCTAACCATGATGAGAAGTGAATTCTTATCGTTCCATTATAAGACTGTTGACTATTCTGATTGGGGTGAGGGGATTCTCCTGAGGGGATACATTGGAGATCAGATAATACTAAGGCATACTGCATACTTTAATACATAATTGATATTTTCTTTATGGAAACTATAAACCTCAAAAGACAAAATAAGGCAATTTTCTATTTAGTTGTAAGAGCTCGGAACTCCTGTGGCACCTTCTTGACTGTGGCATTGTTTGTCCACTGTCAATCCATGCAACCTCTCTATCTTTACTTCAGCCACAGGAATTTCTCCTCTACTTGGGTTTTTCCTGATGATAAATACACCACGTTCTGAAACTTGGCTAGGCTGCAGTACCCTGTGCTGCCAGCAGGTGGCGCTAACCATGTTACTTAGCTCAACATTGCAATTAAGTCTTTCCATTTATGAATATTCTCTCACTATAGAATTCTGTTCATTAAATATACTTCAATTGGAAAAAAAAACTGGATGTATCCCAGGTTTGTAGCTAAGTCCCACATGTAAATTAAGGCCTTAGAATATTCTAGGTCATAGACCCTTTTCTCTTTTCTTAAATTTGTAAGCATCTCTTCCACACAAAGAACAAACTCTAAGCCTTCGCTTCTGTCCGAAGAAGCTAGTATTTTAGTTTTGCCATCAAGGAAATTTGGAGCAAAGTTAGTAGGATACATTTAATGATAACACATTAATAAGGGTTTTGGGTTCAGAAGGCATTTGCTAAAATGACCATAATTATAACCTATATATTACAGTAATGTCACACACATTATGCTTCAAAAATTATTTTCTGTTTTCCATTATGTTGCTAATTCTGGCAGTTACTCTACCCAGCTGCTGCTGCTTGTTATGCAACCTGCTTTAAACTGTCCTCGACTCAATGCTTTAAAAGACAGACTAAAGTTGACTCTGAGGTTCCCTCCATTCTCTTTCCCCCTTTGCACAGTGGCCTAGTTTGAGCATCCTTGGATATCCTTCCAAACCCCCACAGAAGTTCCCCAAAAAGAGTGAGGCAGGACATGAGCTCACCAAGGTGCAGGCATGAGATGTAGGTGATTCTGGCTGGAGACTGTGGATAATGAGCCCTGGGTTTCTGGCTTCTAGGATTCTTGTGGCAAAGTGGGAGCAGGGCTTGTTCTGAGTGAGAGGGCTTGGCAGATGCCTGGCAAGGGTGTGGTGCCAATCCTGCTGTTAGCCCCTGTGTTGACACTTAACAGCCCTCTGCCAGAAAACTGTAGTAAGATCTAATCTGATGCCTCCAAGGTGAAATGACACTGGACTTGTGCAGTGTGTAGCTTGTGCAACTGTAACCAGCAGCCCTGGGCCAACTGCTCCATATAATCCCACTAGGTTCCCCACAGTTACCCTTAAGGCAGCTTCATTACAAAGGCTTCCAGGAGGAGCGTTCCTTAGAGAAGTGTCACATGGCTGGCAAGGCCTAGATGGGAGAACTCCTAACCCCTACTTGTGGCCCACAGATGCTAAGCAGGGGACCTCAGATGCCCATCTGCAGTGTTGTCTTTTCCTACACATACATACAACAGTAGTAGTATAGTACACAGCAGTAATAGTAGTATAACTCCTTTTGGGTTCCCAGACCCGATTCCAATGTCTGTAAGTATGTGGGAGGGGGGTCTTCCCACACACCAAGCAATTCTTGAACACCAGCAGGTTGTTTGAAGACACTGCCTTTCCTAACATGCTGTGTGTCATTGGACAACTTCCTTTGTTTCTTTGGGCCTTGGTTTCCTCATCAAGAACTCAATTCTGATGCTCTCTGCCTGGAGACAGCACCAGATTCCCAGGTTAAGGGATCTGTCCTACAATACTGCCCTCCACCCCACACTCCAGATGCCCGCAAACCCCAGGCAGTTCCTGCACTTCTGACCCACTAGCTACAGATTTGGAGTTCCCCACGACCTCCCCCTTAGGTTTGATTTATTTGCTAGAGCGGCTCACAGAACTCGGAAAAACACTTACATTTACCAATTTAATAAAAGATAACTGTAAAGAATACAAGTTAACAGCCAGATGAGGAGACACGCAGGGCAAGGTCCCAAATAAAGGAGCTTCTGTCCTCGTGGAGCTCGGGGCCTGGCTCGGGGGCACACGGAGGCATCTGATTCCCCAAGCTTAGAAGCTTTCTCTGACTGAGAAGCAGGATCCCAGAGAGCGGCAAGCTCTTCTCAGGGGTTTTTGTGAGGGCTTCATTGCATAGTCATGATTGACTGAATTATTGGCCATTGGCTGATTCCACACCCCCGCCCCCACCCCCTGGGTCAGCCTCTGGGTCCAGCCCGCGCAGGTGGCCAGGTTGATCCTGCCAGTTTAGGGTTATCCCCCTGCAGAGATGCCGACATACAGTGAGTGGCGGTCTGTTTTGGGCCTTTAAATGCCCCACGCCTCTGATTTGGGGAGGCTTTCTGGGCAGCAGTGTATCCTTCTGAGACCCTCAGAGCTCACCTGGACCCCTTCCTTTCCTGGTTCGGCACCTCCAGGCTGGAGGGAAGCAGCCCACAACTCACTCAGCCACAACTCCATGTGGGGAGATTTGCACGTTTCCTTCTGTCTGGAGACCTCTGACCCCACATTCAAATTTGAGAGCCGCTCCTGGCCCGACAGCCCTGAAGCTGTAGGAGGGTTTGGTCTCACCCTGGTGCAGGGAGATCCATCCCTCACCCTTTCATTGTTCCTTCCCAGACACTGTTGGCAGTCAAAGCCCACTCTCAGGGCACCAGGTTCTGGGCCTCAGCATCCACGATTTTCCAGGTCTCCTGAGAGGAGAGTTCGCCACAGGGACCAAGCTGCTAGGGCTCCCTGGGGCTCGGGCACTTCGGGCAGCCCTGGGAGAGGGGAAGCCAGCCAGCTGGAGCCTGGAGTGGAAGTAACAACAGGCGGATCACTGGCGCTGCCCCAGGAGCCCAATTCATGGCCTCAGGACACACCACTTACCAACAAAAGGACTCTGCAATGAGGATTTTTTTGGGAGGATGACCTTTAGGCACCAAAAGACCCCAAATCAAAGGAAGAGAAAATTATATTCATCAGAAGCCTAAACCAGAAAGGGCCTCTGGTTTCTCTGATAATTTAGAAAGTCAATTTTCAGAACATTCTCTTGCCCAGCATTCCAGAAATTGACGTTTTACTGAATCTCAAAGTCTCAGACTTAAACCATTTTGCTCTATGTCCCTAAATTTCTGTGCTTCTCCCACTGAAGTAGATGTGAGTGCCAGAGGATGACACAGCACTCCTTCCTTAGAGCAGAAATGTCATCAGATTTGGAAAATAAAAGATTCCTCAAAAGATTAAAACACAATTACATAAAGGACTAGAATGCAAAAACCATAGATTTTAAAAATTAAATTCAAGCTCTTGAAGATATAGGCTGTGAGACATACTTTGGTAGCTGTTTGAAGATACTGCCTTTCCTAACATGCTGTGTGACATTGGACAACTTCCTTGGCCTCTCTGAGCCTTGGTTTTCTCATCTGTAAAACATGAGAGATGTTGAACTCTGATTTCCAAAGCTTCAGGGTTTAGCTTGCTATGCTTTTCATTAATTTCACCCATCGGTCTCTTTCCTTATATACCAGTCAGGTTCCTTTAAAGAAATAGATTCAATTTTTTTTTTACTTATTTCAAGAAATTGGCTCAGATGATTTCCCAAGCCTGAAATCTGTGAGGCAGCCCCCCTAGGCTGGAAACTGAGTAAGGAGCTCTTGAGGTGGAGTTTTGTCTTCTCCCAGAAACCTCAATTTTTGCTTTTAAGGCCTTTTACCTGATTGCACAAGGCCCACCCACATTGTCAAGGATCATTTCTTTCTTTTACTTGAAGTCAAATGTTTGTAGATATTAACCACATGTACAAATATCTTCAGAGCCGCACCAAATTAAATAACTCGGTCCTTGAATCTATAAGCTGGCATGTAAAACTAGCCACCAAGCCTTACGACACAAACTTTCAAGCAGGGCCGTTTCTTGGGGACATGACCTGTGCAGTCCTCAGAAGGACCCCAAGCCTGGTTTAATGCTCTGCTGTCACTCTCTTGAAATTCTTCATTGTTTTGCTCTGAGAATTGCACAGCTGGTCTTGCAGAAAGGTTCACTCTCTGAACGTGGTCTCCTGGCTGAGCCAGCCTCCCAGAGGAAGGGCGGCCAGGTGGGCTGGCCCGTCTGCATGGCTTAGCTTATGTCCCCGACACTTCATCTTATTCTTCCTGGTATTGTTATTTAACATCCATGCACATTAATCCTGTTTCTCTAAACTAACATATAAATTATTTTTCTTGGGGTAAAAAACTTTGTAACATAAAATTCAGCATTTTAGTCATTCTTAAGTGCACAGGTCAGTGGCACTAAGTACATCCACATTGTTGTGCAACTATCACCTGACCACACCCATCTCCAAAAGCTTTCATCTTCCCAAACTGAAACTCAGTCCCCATTAAATAATAACTACCTATTCCTTCTTCCCCCAGCCCCTGGCAAACCCCTTTCCATGTCCTATCTCTGTGAATCTGACTGCTCTAGGGACTCATATTAGTGGAATCACACAATATTTGCCCTTCTGTGACCGGCTGATTTTACTCAGCACAATGTCCTGAAGATTGATCCATGTTGTAGCATGTGTCAAAATTTCCTTCCTTTTTAAGACTGAATAAAATTCCACTGTGTCTCTTTCTCTATATAGATATATGTCTATATATAAATGTCTATATACCTATATGTATATCACATTTTGCTTATCTAGTCACCTATGTATGGACACTTGATTGCATGTAATTTTGACTATTGTAAGTAATGCTGCTATGAACATGGGTATATAAATATCTGTTTGAGCCCCTATTTTCATTTCTTCGGGGTGTATGCCCAAGCACTGGAATTGCCGGATCCTGTAGTAGTCCTGTGTTTAATTTTTTGAGGAAGTACCGCGCCGTTTTCCAGGGTGGTCGCACCATTTTACATTCAAACCAGCAACACACAGCAATCCACTTTCTCCACGTCTGTGACAATACTTGTTATTTTCTGCCTGTTTGCTTTTTTTAAGGAATAATGCTGCCAATGGGTATGAAGTGATATCCCATTGTGGTTTTATTTGCATTTCCTTAATGATTGTTGATGTGGAGCATCATTTCATGTGCTTATTGGCCATTTGTATGTCTTCTTTGGGGAGATGTGAATTCAAGTCCTTGGTTCATTTTTTGATTGTTTGGTCTTGACTTGACCTGTAGGAGTTCTTTATAGATTATGGATATTAACCTCATAGGATATATGATTAGAATATATACTTCTTGAGGCCAGAAACCTGTCTTAATGTTTCTTGTAATTCCCCCAAAGCACTTAGCGCTTAATATTCAATGAATGCTTCATGAAAGAATGGCCACAAAGTGTGGTACGTCAAAGGCAAGTTGAAGCTAAGTTTGCGCGAGGAATGTGGAGAGCATTTTGTAGGCAGGCCCCAGACCCACTACGTCTGGAGGGAAGCCAGGCAATGAGGGAGCCTCCTGCTCCCAAAGGATTACCTGGAGATGAAGGGGAGGGAGCAGAGAGTGAATAATTCTTGGTCTTTATTAAAAAGAAGGCAAGGAGAGTCCCACTTGCCAAACATGCCCTGAAGTGGACACGCTGAAAGCCAGGCTACGGGAGGTCAAATGGACAGGCAGAAATCTAGAAAGGGCAATCTGAGGGGAGGCGGGCTGTCCCCTGAACATCTGGAAGACCCTCAAGGGTGAGAGAAAGCAGAGTACAGTACACCCAACTTCTGTGCCAAACACACGCTAGTGGGACCCCCTGCCTAGGAGAGCTGGAAAGGGGCCCCAGGGGCTATGGACACCCAGTCAGCAGGCAGAGCCCGGCATGATGGCTGAATCTCTGACCTCCTAAACAAACAAGATTTGGGGGCTTCTCATTTTCCTGGGGGAAACAAGGAGTGGTGATTGGAGGCTCAGGAAAAGCGGGTGCCATGTGGAGATGTAAATGAAGATTTGGGTGCTCTTTCCTGCATGGGGGTGCTATGAAGATACAGGAGGTAGGAAAGCCAGAGCCCTGCCCATATGGGGCTCATTGCCATGGGGAGGAGGGGCTGGGGGTGCTGTGGCAGACGGCCTGGCAGGAGAGGGCTGTCCCCAGCAGGCCAGGTACCGAGCCTTCAACCCACCGCAGGTGGGCCTGGGGGATGGGAGGGGGTGGGCTGGACTTGTTTTCCATTTCTGCTTCAGTAGAACACCTTCTCCAGATACGTGTTCAGGAACATCCCTGTGGGGTCCAGACATTTTGTAGGCAGGCCCCAGACCCACTACGTCTGGAGGGAAGCCAGGCAATGAGGGAGCCTCCTGCTCCCAAAGGATTACCTGGAGATGAAGGGGAGGGAGCAGAGAGTGAATAATTCTTGGTCTTTATTAAAAAGAAGGCAAGGAGAGTCCCACTTGCCAAACATGCCCTGAAGTGGACACGCTGAAAGCCAGGCTACGGGAGGTCAAATGGACAGGCAGAAATCTAGAAAGGGCAATCTGAGGGGAGGCGGGCTGTCCCCTGAACATCTGGAAGACCCTCAAGGGTGAGAGAAAGCAGAGTACAGTACACCCAACTTCTGTGCCAAACACACGCTAGTGGGACCCCCTGCCTAGGAGAGCTGGAAAGGGGCCCCAGGGGCTATGGACACCCAGTCAGCAGGCAGAGCCCGGCATGATGGCTGAATCTCTGACCTCCTAAACAAACAAGATTTGGGGGCTTCTCATTTTCCTGGGGGAAACAAGGAGTGGTGATTGGAGGCTCAGGAAAAGCGGGTGCCATGTGGAGATGTAAATGAAGATTTGGGTGCTCTTTCCTGCATGGGGGTGCTATGAAGATACAGGAGGTAGGAAAGCCAGAGCCCTGCCCATATGGGGCTCATTGCCATGGGGAGGAGGGGCTGGGGGTGCTGTGGCAGACGGCCTGGCAGGAGAGGGCTGTCCCCAGCAGGCCAGGTACCGAGCCTTCAACCCACCGCAGGTGGGCCTGGGGGATGGGAGGGGGTGGGCTGGACTTGTTTTCCATTTCTGCTTCAGTAGAACACCTTCTCCAGATACGTGTTCAGGAACATCCCTGTGGGGTCCAGTTTTTCTCGGATGGCACAGAACTTTGGAAAGGCAGGATACATTTTCTCAAAGTCTTTTCGGGTACAATTGTGGGCCTGTGGAAGCAACCAGATGCAACAAGCTTTGTTCCCTGGAGCTGGCACTTCCGTGGGGTTTCAAAAAGGCACCCCTGTGTCTGTGTCCTTGCATGTGTGACACCCCTACCCCCGGGCACATATGTGCACATGCATACATGCACACACACGCACAGGTGTGCACACAATGTAGTTCTTGGGAAGTAAAGAAGGAAGGTGTTAAAATAGAGCATTAAATTCCCCATTCCCTTTGCCACCCCACAGTGGAGAGGGCTCCAGCCCCAATTCTACTCCTAGTTAGAAAGTTAAGTCCCATCACCTCTGAGAGACCCTCAGTCTCCTATCTGTTAAATGGACTCACTGACTCCTGCCTTATCCTGCTCACAGGGTTTCTACGAGAATCAAGTAAATGAAAGATGAGGAACTCCCTGAAAGCTCAGAGGGAATGACAGTCACGGGGCTGCTGGGACGGGAGTGAAGAGGGAAGCTGGGTCTGGGTGGGGTCGCTCTGACGGCAAATCCTACCTTGGCCCAGTGGGGCCTGCCGCCCACCTTCTTCATGATGGTCTCATAGGCCAGCCAGTAGTCCAGCCGTGGCACGTCCTTGCCATAGGGCCTGGGGGCACAGGGGTGGGGGAAGGAAGTGAGGCCCTCTCCCACCACAGTTGTCCAGCACTTGGCATGTGGAATGGAGACAAGACATGGCTCTGCCCACAGGACATGTACAATGACAGTAACCCCAGGGCTTTGCTCATTTCTCATCTCCAGAAAGGTTTGGAAAAAGTTTGCAACTTCTCACATACTTCCAAACTGGCATCTGAAAGTTATCATGAATTTAAATGATTTTAAGGATTTGTGTGTATGTGTGTGTATATACACAAATCTTTATATATATATATATAGTGTCTTTTTGACAAAGCTTAGTAATTTCAGATTCACCTTATTCAATGTACAGAAGGCATGGTCACAGAAACTAGCTGGACAGTCCTTTACCACCAAGTCAGTCTTACCAACAGGAAAAGTCTAAATCAGAACTTTAAAAAATTCAAATAGACATATGATGAATCTCTATGGCAACTTGCTCACTTCTGAGTTTCATTCACAGGTAGGGAGAAGAAATGGCTGGACAGATGAGGTCTGAGCCTTACTGACCACAGGTTGTCCCTCTTTGAAATAAGTTGCCTCCCACCCAGTGTACCTTTCACCAACTCTTTTCTGGCTTTCTGGGGTGCCCTTCTAGAATAGTGCATTCTTTCATTGTCCCCTGGACATCTTATAGGTTTGGGGGCTTTATTTGCTGGAGAAATATACCAGAGGGAGATTCAGGCTGGGTGAGGGTTAGGTTTTTCTTTTGAGAAGTCAGAGAAGAGCTATTACCAATGAGAGATGGGAAAGAAGAGGCGGAGGAAGTCATCTCAGGCAGGACATTTTAGGAAAGATGCAGTCCCGGGGTCTGCTGCATAACTAACTAGGAAAAAGATAATGCGGTCCTGACCACAAGGTATGGGCACAGCGCCCGGTGCAGCTGACCAGGACGGGCCAGCGCATCCAGGCAGACACCTTCGTCAGGTGTGATCCCCTTTTCTGCTGAGTTTAAACCTGACTTTAGAATCCTTCTCAACACAGCGTTCCAGACTCAGCAGGCACATGAGCTAGCATATATTTGTTGTTCCATAATGTCAGATTCACAAATGATAGCTACTTGTGCTAACGTTATTTATTAATTAATATATTATATTAACATAATTCAGGCTAGAAATGGCAGTGGTAGGAACTCCAAGGAGAGAGAGAGGCTGTTTTCTCCTGCCAGGATCAGAGAAGTCTCGCTGGAGACGCAGCATTTGAACTGGCCACGCAAGATGGGGAAGGAGGGTGGCCTCTCACAGCTGAGCACCCACCCCCCGCCTGCCCCTCCGTGAGCCGCTCACCTGTACATGATGATGTTCACGTAGCAGCTGTCCCTCTGGAAGCAGGGGCTCAGCAGGATGTCGTCCGCCCGGGCGAAGCGCACCTCCACGGGGTAGTGGGCCACCACCTTGGGCTGGGCCTCCAGCATGGCCTTCAGCTCCATCAGAGCCTCTTTGGTCTTCTCTCTGCACGCAGCACAAAAGGACAGAGCCCGGACCTCAGCAAGGGACCCCCAGGAGCCATCACACAAGGTTCTGCAAAGCCTCCCCACCAAGGAACCCCCAGCTGTGGCTCCCAGTCCTGAGGAGGATTGTTCCTCGTGGCTGCCCTCAAAGTCCTCGTCACAGATGCAGAGCCTGGGCATCTGCCCCTGGAAAGCTACTGGCGGCTCCCGGTCCAGCCCAGGGACCCCGCCATTTCAGGGGCTCCCCTCAGCAATGTGGCCCCAGGTGTCCTACAAGCTGGCCCCTCTTCTTCAGACAGAGTGAAGTCACTCTGATTCTAATACTTGCACTCATTCTAATATTCCCGCCTGCAGGTCTGATGCCCCAGCTGGGAACTCAGGGACAGAGGCATCCCCTAAACGCAGGTACCACCCCCTCCCTTTCCTGGAAGGAGACAAAGACAGGGGACAATTTAGAGAGAAAGCCTGTGGTGTGTGGCTCCAGGCCTCACCGAGGTCCTGGTCAGGGGTCCCCCCAATACAGGGTCCTGGCTCCCCACACATCAGGTGCAGGTGGGCTCTGCCATCCAGGAGCTGAATGCAGGGGACAGTCTTCCAGAAAAACAAGAAAACAAGAAGCTGGGCAGGCAGTGCCAGGCCCCAAGCCCAAGCCTGCCATTACTGTCTCATGGCCAGAGAGACGGGGAGACCCAAGGGGATTCTGTGACAGGCAGGATGGCTCACTGCAAGGGCACCCCGAGGGGCCTCAGAGCCTCCGGCTTCCCCTCCCCACGGACTCCGGCAGCAGGTAGGCCGGGGAGCCTGGCGGGCAGCCTGTGCTAAGGCCGTGTGAGGACACAGGGTCGACTGTGACGCTGGGCCCCCCGCAGCCCGGCCTTGCAGCCCCCACCTGGGGATGGCCCAGTCCTGGACATGCTGCTTGAAGCGACACTCGTAGGTGAAGACCCGGTGGCTGAGGTCGCTGCTCTCCTTCTTCCCGGTGAACAGAAGCCAGAAGAAAAAGCGGTTGATCCAGCCCACGAGGCCCGGCAGGAAGGTGCTGGGGGCAGGGCAGAGGGCATGTGATCACCACGCTATCCAGCAGCTGGCGAGAGCCCACGAGGGCCAGCCGTGGGCCGAGCTCCTCACCAACCAGGGCCTCACTCTCCGCATCTTCCACTGCTTATGCTCATCTTAGCTTGGAAGCCCCTCCAGGGAACGTAACTACGATTCTAAAACACCCTCTCCACCGCCACGCAGCCGTCCGGTTACGGAGAGCCCGTGCTTGACCCGCTACTCCCCTGTTAATGACTAGACTGTCTTCAGTGTGTGCCCTTTCTTCAATCTTCATTGTGGTACAAACACATAACGTAAAATTTACCATCTTATCCATTTTTAAGTGTACATTTTAGCAGCGTTACATACATTCACGTTGTGCACCCCATCTCCATGGTCCTGCAAAACCGAGACTGTCCCCTTAAACACTAACTACCCCCCACTCCCCCAGCCCCTAGTAGCCCCCGTTCCACTTTCTGCCTGTGAGTGTGACAGCTCTAGGAACGTCATTCAAGTGGCGTCGCCCAGTATTCATCCTTTTGTGACTGGCTTCTTCACTTGGCGTAATGCCCTCTGGGTCCATCCATGTTGCAGCCTGTCGGCGTGTCCCCCCTTCCTAAGGCCGAGGAGCATTCCCCCATGCGCGGGCACCACACTGCCTCTCTGCTCACCCACTGGACACTTGGGTTGCTCCACATTTTGACTATTGTGAATGATGTTGCTATGAACATGAATGTGCAAACATCCCTTTAAGACTGTGCTTTCTGTTCTGTTCTAGATATTCACCCAAAAGGGACCCAGGTCCAGGGGCCCACTGCAGGCTGGGGGACAGAGGCCTGCACAGTAACCTAACTCATGGACTCAGCTCTTGCTGTCTCGGGGCTCTAGTCACCCTGTGGCAGCTCACGGCTCTCCTGGAGTCAGTAAACTTGGTAGCAAAGATCCGCCTGGCTTCTATGCTTTTCTTGGTCTGGTTCCAATGCAAATGGGCTGACTGCTTGGAGACTGTGGGCTGGAACCCCAGCACAAGGCAGGCCTCTTCCTCTGCACTGCCTCCCCTTCCCTCCCTGCAGGTGGCTTCTGCCCAGAGGATCAGCAGCCACCTTTGCTCCCACAAGGCTGTCCTTCGTGCCATCCCTGCCATCTCACCATCCACCATCAATCCATCCCAGCTGTTTGGAGCATCTTGCGTGTTGTTATAGACAACCCCAGGGGACCCANTTTTTCTCGGATGGCACAGAACTTTGGAAAGGCAGGATACATTTTCTCAAAGTCTTTTCGGGTACAATTGTGGGCCTGTGGAAGCAACCAGATGCAACAAGCTTTGTTCCCTGGAGCTGGCACTTCCGTGGGGTTTCAAAAAGGCACCCCTGTGTCTGTGTCCTTGCATGTGTGACACCCCTACCCCCGGGCACATATGTGCACATGCATACATGCACACACACGCACAGGTGTGCACACAATGTAGTTCTTGGGAAGTAAAGAAGGAAGGTGTTAAAATAGAGCATTAAATTCCCCATTCCCTTTGCCACCCCACAGTGGAGAGGGCTCCAGCCCCAATTCTACTCCTAGTTAGAAAGTTAAGTCCCATCACCTCTGAGAGACCCTCAGTCTCCTATCTGTTAAATGGACTCACTGACTCCTGCCTTATCCTGCTCACAGGGTTTCTACGAGAATCAAGTAAATGAAAGATGAGGAACTCCCTGAAAGCTCAGAGGGAATGACAGTCACGGGGCTGCTGGGACGGGAGTGAAGAGGGAAGCTGGGTCTGGGTGGGGTCGCTCTGACGGCAAATCCTACCTTGGCCCAGTGGGGCCTGCCGCCCACCTTCTTCATGATGGTCTCATAGGCCAGCCAGTAGTCCAGCCGTGGCACGTCCTTGCCATAGGGCCTGGGGGCACAGGGGTGGGGGAAGGAAGTGAGGCCCTCTCCCACCACAGTTGTCCAGCACTTGGCATGTGGAATGGAGACAAGACATGGCTCTGCCCACAGGACATGTACAATGACAGTAACCCCAGGGCTTTGCTCATTTCTCATCTCCAGAAAGGTTTGGAAAAAGTTTGCAACTTCTCACATACTTCCAAACTGGCATCTGAAAGTTATCATGAATTTAAATGATTTTAAGGATTTGTGTGTATGTGTGTGTATATACACAAATCTTTATATATATATATAGTGTCTTTTTGACAAAGCTTAGTAATTTCAGATTCACCTTATTCAATGTACAGAAGGCATGGTCACAGAAACTAGCTGGACAGTCCTTTACCACCAAGTCAGTCTTACCAACAGGAAAAGTCTAAATCAGAACTTTAAAAAATTCAAATAGACATATGATGAATCTCTATGGCAACTTGCTCACTTCTGAGTTTCATTCACAGGTAGGGAGAAGAAATGGCTGGACAGATGAGGTCTGAGCCTTACTGACCACAGGTTGTCCCTCTTTGAAATAAGTTGCCTCCCACCCAGTGCACCTTTCACCAACTCTTTTCTGGCTTTCTGGGGTGCCCTTCTAGAATAGTGCATTCTTTCATTGTCCCCTGGACATCTTATAGGTTTGGGGGCTTTATTTGCTGGAGAAATATACCAGAGGGAGATTCAGGCTGGGTGAGGGTTAGGTTTTTCTTTTGAGAAGTCAGAGAAGAGCTATTACCAATGAGAGATGGGAAAGAAGAGGCGGAGGAAGTCATCTCAGGCAGGACATTTTAGGAAAGATGCAGTCCCGGGGTCTGCTGCATAACTAACTAGGAAAAAGATAATGCGGTCCTGACCACAAGGTATGGGCACAGCGCCCGGTGCAGCTGACCAGGACGGGCCAGCGCATCCAGGCAGACACCTTCGTCAGGCGTGATCCCCTTTTCTGCTGAGTTTAAACCTGACTTTAGAATCCTTCTCAACACAGCGTTCCTGACTCAGCAGGCACATGAGCTAGCATATATTTGTTGTTCCATAATGTCAGATTCACAAATGATAGCTACTTGTGCTAACGTTATTTATTAATTAATATATTATATTAACATAATTCAGGCTAGAAATGGCAGTGGTAGGAACTCCAAGGAGAGAGAGAGGCTGTTTTCTCCTGCCAGGATCAGAGAAGTCTCGCTGGAGACGCAGCATTTGAACTGGCCACGCAAGATGGGGAAGGAGGGTGGCCTCTCACAGCTGAGCACCCACCCCCCGCCTGCCCCTCCGTGAGCCGCTCACCTGTACATGATGATGTTCACGTAGCAGCTGTCCCTCTGGAAGCAGGGGCTCAGCAGGATGTCGTCCGCCCGGGCGAAGCGCACCTCCACGGGGTAGTGGGCCACCACCTTGGGCTGGGCCTCCAGCATGGCCTTCAGCTCCATCAGAGCCTCTTTGGTCTTCTCTCTGCACGCAGCACAAAAGGACAGAGCCCGGACCTCAGCAAGGGACCCCCAGGAGCCATCACACAAGGTTCTGCAAAGCCTCCCCACCAAGGAACCCCCAGCTGTGGCTCCCAGTCCTGAGGAGGATTGTTCCTCGTGGCTGCCCTCAAAGTCCTCGTCACAGATGCAGAGCCTGGGCATCTGCCCCTGGAAAGCTACTGGCGGCTCCCGGTCCAGCCCAGGGACCCCGCCATTTCAGGGGCTCCCCTCAGCAATGTGGCCCCAGGTGTCCTACAAGCTGGCCCCTCTTCTTCAGACAGAGCGAAGTCACTCTGATTCTAATACTTGCACTCATTCTAATATTCCCGCCTGCAGGTCTGATGCCCCAGCTGGGAACTCAGGGACAGAGGCATCCCCTAAACGCAGGTACCACCCCCTCCCTTTCCTGGAAGGAGACAAAGACAGGGGACAATTTAGAGAGAAAGCCTGTGGTGTGTGGCTCCAGGCCTCACCGAGGTCCTGGTCAGGGGTCCCCCCAATACAGGGTCCTGGCTCCCCACACATCAGGTGCAGGTGGGCTCTGCCATCCAGGAGCTGAATGCAGGGGACAGTCTTCCAGAAAAACAAGAAAACAAGAAGCTGGGCAGGCAGTGCCAGGCCCCAAGCCCAAGCCTGCCATTACTGTCTCATGGCCAGAGAGACGGGGAGACCCAAGGGGATTCTGTGACAGGCAGGATGGCTCACTGCAAGGGCACCCCGAGGGGCCTCAGAGCCTCCGGCTTCCCCTCCCCACGGACTCCGGCAGCAGGTAGGCCGGGGAGCCTGGCGGGCAGCCTGTGCTAAGGCCGTGTGAGGACACAGGGTCGACTGTGACGCTGGGCCCCCCGCAGCCCGGCCTTGCAGCCCCCACCTGGGGATGGCCCAGTCCTGGACATGCTGCTTGAAGCGACACTCGTAGGTGAAGACCCGGTGGCTGAGGTCGCTGCTCTCCTTCTTCCCGGTGAACAGAAGCCAGAAGAAAAAGCGGTTGATCCAGCCCACGAGGCCCGGCAGGAAGGTGCTGGGGGCAGGGCAGAGGGCATGTGATCACCACGCTATCCAGCAGCTGGCGAGAGCCCACGAGGGCCAGCCGTGGGCCGAGCTCCTCACCAACCAGGGCCTCACTCTCCGCATCTTCCACTGCTTATGCTCATCTTAGCTTGGAAGCCCCTCCAGGGAACGTAACTACGATTCTAAAACACCCTCTCCACCGCCACGCAGCCGTCCGGTTACGGAGAGCCCGTGCTTGACCCGCTACTCCCCTGTTAATGACTAGACTGTCTTCAGTGTGTGCCCTTTCTTCAATCTTCATTGTGGTACAAACACATAACGTAAAATTTACCATCTTATCCATTTTTAAGTGTACATTTTAGCAGCGTTACATACATTCACGTTGTGCACCCCATCTCCATGGTCCTGCAAAACCGAGACTGTCCCCTTAAACACTAACTACCCCCCACTCCCCCAGCCCCTAGTAGCCCCCGTTCCACTTTCTGCCTGTGAGTGTGACAGCTCTAGGAACGTCATTCAAGTGGCGTCGCCCAGTATTCATCCTTTTGTGACTGGCTTCTTCACTTGGCGTAATGCCCTCTGGGTCCATCCATGTTGCAGCCTGTCGGCGTGTCCCCCCTTCCTAAGGCCGAGGAGCATTCCCCCATGCGCGGGCACCACACTGCCTCTCTGCTCACCCACTGGACACTTGGGTTGCTCCACATTTTGACTATTGTGAATGATGTTGCTATGAACATGAATGTGCAAACATCCCTTTAAGACTGTGCTTTCTGTTCTTCTAGATATTCACCCAAAAGGGACCCAGGTCTAGGGGCCCACTGCGGGCTGGGGGACAGAGGCCTGCACAGTAACCTAACTCATGGACTCAGCTCTTGCTGTCTCGGGGCTCTAGTCACCCTGTGGCAGCTCACGGCTCTCCTGGAGTCAGTAAACTTGGTAGCAAAGATCCGCCTGGCTTCTATGCTTTTCTTGGTCTGGTTCCAATGCAAATGGGCTGACTGCTTGGAGACTGTGGGCTGGAACCCCAGCACAAGGCAGGCCTCTTCCTCTGCACTGCCTCCCCTTCCCTCCCTGCAGGTGGCTTCTGCCCAGAGGATCAGCAGCCACCTTTGCTCCCACAAGGCTGTCCTTCGTGCCATCCCTGCCATCTCACCATCCACCATCAATCCATCCCAGCTGTTTGGAGCATCTTGCGTGTTGTTATAGACAACCCCAGGGGACCCAAGCCTTGCCTTCCCCACTTAGAGGGGGCACGAGGGGTCTTCACGTACCTTTGGGAGAAGGGAAGGCTGCAATGTCTACTGGACACACATCATGCACTTACTATTGGATCCTTCCAACAACCCATCTGTTGCGACCAGCTCTACTTTACATATGGGCCAACTGCAGCTCAGGGAGGCTGAGCGATTTCCCCAGGGTAACACAGAAGATGAGTGAAGGGGTGAGGATCAGAGAACAGGTCCAGCTGAACCCACAGCTCATACTCCTTGCATGTTCCCACACTGCCCGGGTTTCCCGGATCTAACGTATGGGCGCATGCAGGTGGGCGGGGAGGAGGGTGCTGTCTCTCCCAAGGCAGAGCTCTCCAGTCTCTGAGAGGCCAGCCTGACTGCAGTGTGGCTTCCACCAGCCCCGGGGAACAGGGCTGTTCCAACCAGGGCTGAGCATGAGCCTGGCCCTGGCTCAGCCTCCAGGGACCCATTCCCGACAGCCTGCCCACCCGTCCTGCTCAGCTGTGGCTGCCACCATCACCCCTACAGGTGACCACTCCTGAACTCAAGGACAGGGACCAAGCTTTTCATTTGGCATTTCTTACACCAATATCTGTGCACCTCCTGCAGGTGCCAGGTGTTTGAGGCACTGGGGATGGGGTGGGAGGGACCTACAGGGTCCTGCTCTCACAGGTAACAAAGTCTCATTGCAAAACAGCCACTCAGCCACCAGTTCTCCACACAGTTATCTGCTTTCATTCCTGCACTCAAGCACACAGCTCAGGGTGGCCCAGAGCTGTAGGGATGAGGCTGTTTCCAGGGGATGCCGTTGCCAGAGCCACATGGGCTGAGCCCTGTGGTGTGGAGTTCTCCTGGAGTGGCCTGCCAGCCTGGCCAGGGTGTGGCAGCTGTGAGTTAGAGCCTGGTTTATTCAGGTGCTCCCTGGGCACTGACTCCTCAGACCCAGGCACACAGAGCTGCCGAGTGGCTGTGATGGATGCTAGAGAGAAAGCCTGACGGGGAAGCTTCCACTCTCACCCCCGTCCATACTCTGATGGTGCAAAGACTTCTGGGCTGGGCTCCCTCACTGCTTCTTGTCTCTTCACTGCCCACGGTAAAAATAAGAATAATCCTGGAAACATCCAGTATGTCGTACCCTGTGCCTCACTCTCCTAACACCTGAGTTATCTTCATAGTCTGCTCTCTGTCCCCAAACATGGGGCCCATCTTATGCCATCTGTGGCTCCCCTGCCCCAGAGAAGGGCTGATGCTCTGAAGGCAGAGGCCAACCTTCCCCCAGGTGCCTGGATTTAGACTTGTTCTGCCAAAGGTCTTAGCCAGGTCCAGCTCTGACGTGAACACCAGCCGGATCCCCAGGGCCGACTTTCAGTGCCACCTTTGAAGGGCTATTGTGACCTTACAATAGAAAAGTATTTCTTAATAAGAACAAAAGTCCCGAAGATAAAAGAATGGATAGATACATTCAACTAAATGAGAATTAAAAACATTGGTACCCCAAAAAACATGATAAAAGAGAAAGAAGACTCGAACTGGGAGAAGATGTTACAATACTTATAACCAACAAGGACTGGTGCTCAAAATATATGTGGATAAAACCCTACAAAACAGTATGAAAAAAACAACCCAATTTTTAAGAAGGACAAAATACATAAATAGGCACTTCACAAAAGAGAAAGCTGAAGGATCAGTAAGCTGCAAATCTGTGCAACCTCATTGATAATCAGGGAAATAAGAATTGAAAGCCATAATGACATATCACAATACACATCTTACAAAAGTTTAAAAGCCTGAATTCCAATTCTGGCCGGCTGTGGAGCACAGAGCACCTAACAGCTTGGGATAACTACTTTGGAGAATAATTTGATGAGATAAAGCTGAAGATGCTTATACTCAGCAACCCAGAAATTCCACTCATGACGATATACTCAAGCCAAAAAAAGGAGGAATATTTTTTAACGCTCACAGCAATGTCATTTGTAATGTCCAAAAAATAATAATAATCCTGTAAACAGCCAAGGTGTCCATCAACAAGAGTGGGGATACATACACTGGTAAATGCATACAGTGGAAAATGAATAATTGCAGCTCTCCATATCAACATGCATAAATATCACTATCAAACCTGAATTACCAAATGTATTATTTCAGGACTCATAAAACTACAGTATAAAGAAAAGCCAGAGAATGATAAGCATAAAGTTTGGGGGGGTGGTTACCACACTGGCAGGAGGCATTGCGATCCGAGAATTCCATAAAGAAGACTCCAATTGTACTAATGTTGTTTCATGTCTTAACATGGTAGTAATTACATGGATGTTTATTCTATTATTCTTTATACTTGAAATATACGTGGTCTATGTTATTTTGTATGTAGGAAATACTTAATAATTTTTATATGATGCCATCCCTTTCTTGGCTGGATACAGTCACCACTCAAGGCCCCATGAAATCTTTCCCTCATTCATAGTTACACGTCCAGCAGCAGACACGGGGCCTGAGCGTGAACACAGAGTATAGGCTGGGAAGCAGGTAGAAAACAGGGCACAATGAAAAGATTCACATCACCTGTGGGCCAGAGAGTGGGGCCTGGGCATTGGCATTTTTTAAAACACTCCCCAGGGGACCTGAATGTGCAGGGAGGGTTGAAATCCACTGCTCTGGACCCAGGATACAGACCTAATTTGCATGCACAGAGGTCGGGGTGGTATTCTTCTGATGGACCACATCCTCAACAGCATATGGCAGATGCTGAAGAAAAGTACCTTTGTATTCCTACCTGATCCAGAGTAGGAACTCCAGTAAATAGAATCCAATGGCATAGTCCCAAAACCAGTTGGCAGAAGACGAGGGGGTCTGAGGAGCAGAATCCGTGATCAGTTCAGGGACAGAGTTGAGCTGCCTTCTGACCTAGGTGTCTAGTGTCCCCTAGAGGGAGAGGTCCCCGCAGTGGCTGTATGTGTGTGGGTAGAGAGTGACCCACCTTCCAGGACCACTGAAAGACTCACTTCTTGGTGACACAGCCAATTCCCACACTCTACCCTCTCTTTGGTTTTAAGCTTATTTATTTATTGATGTAAATGTGCATGTATTTTGCACAAGATAAAAATGTGTGTCCCTCCCTTTCCTTCAGATTCCTTCAGGTGTCCAGTGATCGCTCTTTGTGAGCCCCACGCCAGCCCTTTACACACATAAGGTGCCAAGACCTTTGCCTGATGTGGCCCATCAAATTCATCCTAAGTCATGGCTTTGTTTTCTGCTAAGAAGTAGGCTGTTTGCTAAGGACACGGGGCGGGACAAAGCTATTGGTTTCTTCCGCTGAACAGCTGGGGGTGCTGGAGAGGAGGCGGGCTGTGTCACATGGCTTCTGAGGGCTAGTCTGCAGCCTAGGGCTCTGTCTTATCCCTGCCCACACCTCGGTCCTCTGCTGCCCTCCAGGCTGCCCCTTGACCTCACCCCTACATGTCCTTGCTCCTCCTGCTTGGTGACGTGTTCCCTCTCTGTCCCTCTCCCATCTCACTGGCCACTGGGACAGTAACAAGTGTCAGCCACCCCGGAAGGGCCGCTGGCTGCGGGTGAAGATGGGATGACACCAGAGCTACCTTGTCTGTGTGGTCCTGGTAGATGATGCTGACATTCTCGCTGTGTGGGAACCAGAGGAAGCGGAAGTATTCCGATTTCTTCAGATGGCTGTCCAGGTTGTCAAGAACCTGGCCTCAGCAGAAGGAAAAAAGGAAAATCGTGTTTGTTACAGGGTGATGCCTCAGTTCCACCCCATCAAAAGCAAATACTTAAAATTGTCCTGACATTGCCAAATGGCAAGGAATGTATCTTACAATATGCTGGACCTTGGAATGGTCCACTTACATGTTGACCCCCCTAAATAGCCTAGAGGATAAAAATGATGTCATCTGTCTTGGCAGGAACACTTGCTGGCTATATGAGTTTGGGCAAGTTACCTAATATCTCCATGCCTCAGGTCCTTCATCTGTAACATGGGATTAATAATAGTACCCATGTCAAGATTGTCACAAAGATTAAATGCAGTAATGCCCAGAAAGTGCCTAAAACAGTGTCAGAATTCGGGCAAGCACTGCACAGGTGTAAGCAACCACTGCTGCTGTTAACGCTCTTATGCTGTCACCGTCTCTATCATCACCCCCTCTCAGTCCCATGATGCCTTGCAAATCCTAGGTCCTTAATAAAACGAACAAGAGTTCTGATCTAATATGTCTCATGATTGCACATATGGAGCTACTTTGGAGTGAACCACATCTCCCCGAAACCCACGGGCCGATACAGGACAGTTCTGAGCCGAAGCATAGACAGATTTTGGATGTGACAGGCAGCTGGCACCAGTCTTGGAGTAAATTCTAGATTCAAGTCCTGACTCTGCAGCTGACGAGCTGCAGGACCTTGGCAGAGCCATGTGCCCTGAGCCCTGGTTTTCCACCAACAACACATGGGTGCTGTGCAGATGAAATGAGATCATCTGCACCAAAGGTCCTACGCTGAGTGACTGCCACATGGCATGTGCCCAATAAGGGCTTGGGTTCTGAATGTGAGCAATGCCAGCACTGTCCAGGGCACCAGTCCCTCTGCCCACTGAGTTCCCAGCTGTGCCTCAGAAATCCCTCTGAGACCCCCAGTTGCATGTGCTTCATCTACAGAGTGAAGGCAGCAATACCTTCCCTCCCTTCCCTCCAGGGCTGGTGGGCAGAGCAAGAGGGACCACGGGTGGGAAAGCACTTTATAAGCTGTGAGCAATGGAGGGCGGTTGTGCCAGAAAAGAAGAAAGCTTGCTGATCAAATGCACGGTGGGGAACTGGAGCCCAGTGTAGACGAACGGCTGCATCACACTGTGGATCAGTGCAGTGGTCAAAGAGGATGCGGGGCTTGAGGGATGGTGACCATTTCCACGTCTGACCAGGGGGGAGAGTGAAGCCAAGATGATCCACGAGGTGAAAACCTTTAGAACGTAGGTTTGGAGGGTCTGAGAGCAGTGGAATTTTAGAATTCTGGATCCTTGTCATAAATATCAGGAACGAGGGCCCCCCCGCTCGTTAACCGATCATGATGGGACCTGGGGAGTATGAGGAATGGGTGGGTAACTGCTGCATTCAAGTACTCTGGCTAGCGTCCTAACCCTCCCCAAGCCCACGCCCCCTCCAGGCTGTCAGCCCCCCAACTGTATCTGCAGCTGCGTCCCCAGCCCCTCCTACAATTCACTCCTGCTGCCATCCTTCCTAGTACTCACTCCTGCGCTGGCCTCATAATTCATCCCTTTCTCATCTCTCCAGACAACATCTACAGGCGAGCATCCCAAAACCCAGCTCAGAAGTCCCCACTGCTTACAGAAGGAAGCCCACACATCTCAGCTCCACCTTCAGAGGCCTCCACACACAGAAATGTCCAGAGCGGTAGCCACTGGCCACAAGGGGCCGCTCAGCACCGGTGAAGAGTCTGCTCGAACTGAGATGCGCTGTGATTTAAATGATCCTCATAAAGCCATCTCCTTCCATTCTAAGTCGTTTCTACTTATATTGCATCCATCCCAGAATTATACTGCAGCTATGGAGGCATACATCTGTCTCTGAAACTCGTCAACAGCTCTTACAGGTCAGGGACTATTCATTCATCTTTAATTTTTTTATTCATTCATCTTTCATTTCATTCAACCCAGATGTTAGCAACATTTTTCTGAAAGGGCCAGGCAATAAATATTTCAGGATTGGATGTCATATGGTCTCCGTGGCAACTCTGCTGCTGTAGCACAAAAACCACCATAGAAAATACATGAACCATGAGCATGGCTGTGTGCTGATGAAACTTTACAAAAACAGGCAGCGAGCCAGATGTGGCCCCGACCTTCTGCTCCAGAGCTGCCGGCACGGTGCCTCACACACAGTGAATGCTGGCGGGCCTATCACTCCTTATTGAGGAGAAGGGCCTTTCCTGCTGAACAGGCCACACACAGCACGGGTAGGAGGGGATGGGGAAAATCCCAGAAAAGGGTGGATTTGTAATGAATTCTTGATCAGGCGACCTTGGGTTACTTTGTTGAGCCCTACAATGTATTGGTGGTGCTGCGATGCAGAGCTGGTGACAGTGTTCATGAGTGAATCGGGGTGCCCAGCGCCTCTAGCCTGGGAAGCACAGGACCGAGTCCAATTCCAGAATCCGCCCACAGAGCAGGAGTCGTAGGCAGTGTTCCCTTGGACTGAGGTCGGGGAGAGGCGGCCTTGCGCTTTCTCCTCTCTCTCTGGGACTCTCAGGGAAGCAAGGGCAGAGAGTTCACAAGACGGGTCCTGGAGTCCTGACAACAGCGTTTGGGGACAGTTGTGCTCAGTGAGGGGTCCAAGCTCAGAGAGGTGGGAGGACTTGTCCCAAGTCCCAGTGGGTCAGTGAAGGGCTTCAAACTGGGGGTCTGCCTTGGAGAAGGGCTCCAACCTCTACCCTGCACCCATCTCTTCCAAAGTCCAGGGCTGGGAGACTCTTGGTAGCTATTCTGTAAACACCCACTGGAAGGAAGGGGCAGAAAAGGAAAAGAGAGAAACACAGAGGGAAAAATGGTGGAGAAACTGCATCTTCACATTTCGTTTATGTGCAAGCAGCATGTGTCACAGCCCTCTGGCTTCCTGTCCCTCTCCTCCTTGCACGCGCCTCCTGTAGCTCTGGACGGGCCAACAGGGAGGGCCAGCTACCAGGGAACAGGCCACACCCAGACAGGACGGGACACAACACGGGGAGCTGCGTGCATCTCGGGGCAGCCCTACGTAGGGGCAGAGACACTCCAGACGGCACCGTTTGCAGCCCCAAGGGAGGTGGGACAGATTCCTTGGAACCTGAGTGGCAAGAAACCAGCAGCAGATGTCAATGCCTGAACAAGAGGGTGGACCATCCCCGTGCTGGAGCTCAAGGAACCTCATGCCTCCTGGAAGTGAGGTCCAATTCTTGCTCCCTTTAGATCAGAGGGAAACCATCCCAGCTGAGCAAGAGGGAGGAGAAATTGCTCTCATGACACTTTCTGACCTTCCCTTCTCCGTGGGCTTGGGAAGCAAGGCACACTGTGGCTGTGTCTCCACCCCAGCTCCCACCCCTAAGAGTTCTCAGGCCCTCCGAGGTGCCCTTGAAAGGCTGTTCAGAGTGGAGAGAGCAAAGATTAACTACGGGGCCGTTTATTACAAACACCCCTTGGAGTAAATCATGGGGCTGAAAACGCCACCCACTTTGGGTGGCGGTCCTTGTTTATGGCCGGGGCTGGAGGCAGAGAAGGGCATCAGCAAGGTATGATGGTGATGAGGGACCTCTCAGAGGCCAGCTGCAGCCCTGTGCGGAAGGGTAGCCCCCGCCCCCAGGACAGGGAGAGAGCAGGCAGGACACACTGGTGGGAGCAGCCGGGCTGAGCCGGGTCTAACGGGAGCCATGGGCCTGTTTCCACGGGGTTCAAGCCTCCCCTCTGAATGACGCCCAATTGCTTGGCCAGACGCACCAAGGGGAGAGACAGCAACGCAAGCGGCGCCCCTCTGTCTCGATGAGGTGCAGGGACAGTTTTGCATCCCAGCACTGCACTGGCTGACAGAATGTCAGCTGACAAGGGCCTCAAGGGTCGTCTAACCCCAGCCCCCTTTTTAAAGATGAAGAAACCAGAAAGTTTGAGGGACTTGCTCAAGGTCACACAGAGTGAGCCACACAGCAGGCCTGGGGGCTCTGCCTCCCTGCCCACAGCCCTTTCACCACACCTTGCGGAGCATTTATTGCTGTGGAATTGTGTGTGTGCATGTTCTCGCGAGCATGTGTGTCTATTCTGCTTTTTAGAGGAGGAGATTGCAATCGCCGTTTCTCATGTGTAATCACAGACTTTCAAAGTGAAAGACACTGGAAGCTTTGAGAAGAATGTAGCCCATTGCCTAATTTTAAGCCCCAGGGCAGGCTAGCTAGTCTGCTAGTTCAGACACCCCTGCTCCAAGACGGTGGACCTTCCCTGGCCATGCCAGGGTACATGCTTACCCTCAGAGAGTGGACCAACATAGACCATCTTTGTAACTTCCCCTTGTATGCATTTCTGAAATTTCTTGCCCGTTAAAAACCCTTTAGCTGAGAGGGGCTGGAGCGCCTGGTTTGGAGGCAGTAAGGACAGAAGCTGGATGTCCTGCATCCGCTCTGCAGCCAGTCAAGGGCCAGGAGAACCGGGAGGGGCAGAGAGCACAAATGGAGGCAGCTGCCAGGGGGAGAGAAGCAGGCTGTCCCAGGGTCTGCTGAAGAGAAGAAAGGGGTACCTGGGCTGCCAGGCTGAGCCTGAGAGGGATGCCTGGTTGTACCTCAGTGGGGGTCCCTGTCACAACCTGCTGCATGGCCAGAAGGGAGTGGTCACCCCTCTATGAAGTCAGAGAGGAAAGGACAAGATCACCAGAGGCATGTGGGCTGAAGGAAGATCCGTCTTTGCAGTGAGTGCTCAGAACGTTATTCCACGGTATTAGGGGTTATTTAGCCCTTGGCCATGAGTCTCAAATGCTGACCCCATGGTGGGCCATAATCCGCATGCCTGCCATGGGGCAGAATGCAGAATGCTTTTGTAACCCTGCTTGGTGTGAGAAACGGGCCTTGGTCAGCCCTTTAGGACTGGTCTGCAGGATCGTGGCTGGTTTGAGGTAGGCTCAGGGGGCCCCAAATTGCTCAGAGTCTGGGGTGGCTCCAGGCAGAGTCATGGAGACTGGCCCCACCCTCATGGAGCTCCCTGGCTTAGCAACATTTTGTCTCTGCCAAACAATTCCATGAAATGTCCTTGTCCTGAACATGTCCCACTTCCTTGGACCACAGAAGATCCTTGAGCCAAGGAAGATCCTTGGGCCAAGGAAGATCTGCATCAGGCAGATCCTTTGCCAATACTGGCCCGTGCAGGCCCAGCACGGGTATGCAGGGATCCACACTGCATCTGCTATGGCTCTGGAGGTACTTTCTCAGCCACCAACTGGGAGTTCTGGGGGATAAATATCCACCAAACATCACTCATTTAAGATTTTTGCTGTGTGGTTTAATGCATTAGAAATTCCAGTGGTAAGGATTTTAGACCAGGTTCTACATAAAGTAGTTTCCATATATGACTGTCTAGGTGCCACGGGATGTGTGTTTTCATACAGAATTAGGCACTTCACATGTGTTATCTGATTTAATACTCAGATTTAATCCTTTTAGGTGGATGTCATTAACTCTCCTTTTAGATGAGGAAACTAAGGCTCAGCAAGGTCAAATGGCTGGTGCAAGGTGACAGCTTGGAAGTGGCAGAGCCAGCATTCAACACCAGGTCACTTTGATCCCAGATCCCACCTCAACTGCATTGGGTCAGTAGTGCTCACATCACTGTCAACTCCATATCTGTGCAGAGGGTCTACTCACATTGACTGATAAGGTGGCTACAGAACTCAAACTCTAAGGCACTTGGAACCATAGATTTGAACCCTACAGTTTAATGATTACCAGGGAGAGATCCAGACCTGCTAGGCATTTCAGGACTATTACATGATACCCATCCATCCATCCACCCATCCATCCACCCATCCATCCATCCATCATCCAACCATCCACCCATCCATCCATCCACCCATCCATCATCCAACCATCCACCTATCCATCCATCCATCCATCCACCCATCCATCCACCCATCCATCCATCATCTAACCATCCGTCCATCCATCCACACATCCATCACCCACCCATCCATCATCCACCCATCCATCATCCAACCATCCATCATCCAACCATCCATCATCCATCCATCCATCCATCATCCAACCATCCATCCATCATCCATCCATCCACCCATCCATCCATCCATCCACCCATCCATCATCCAACCATCCATCCATCATCCATCCATCCATCCATCCACCCATCCATCATCCACCCATCACCCATCCATCCATCACCCATCCATCCATCTAGTCATCCAGCCAGCCAAGCAGCCACCTAATCAACATGGTCTCTCATTTATTCAAAAAACACTGCCGTCAATCAGAAGCCATTCTTTCTGTCCCTCATCATCCAGATAAATCCCCTGCATGGAACCTTAAGCACCCATCAAGACTGACAGTAAGTCCACCCACTTTGCTGTGAAGAAACCATTATAAAGGGAATCCTGAGCATATCCTACCGGTGCAGTTGAGAATCAACACCGCCCAAGGAGCAGTCAGTTCATGCCAGCACCACGTCTCCTGCGGCAAGTCTGCCTGACCTCCTTTCGTGCCACACTCCCTAGCATTTCCTCTGAGCTTCACTGGCCTCCTCAGGAAAGGTTCTGGCCACAGTATTCCTCAGGCCAAGGAAGGGTTTGGCAAGATCAGCCACTCCCCCATTCGGGGGCCCAGCAGAGCCACGGGGGGCTGGCTGCGGGGCATGGCCCAAATGCCAACGTCCTCCATTTGTTGTCCGCGGGTGAGCAGTGGCGAGCGGGAGACCAGTACCTCTCTCAGGGTCGAGGCGAAGGTGGTCTCCTGCAGATGGAACTGGGGCACACACTGTAGGGTGATGGCGAGGATGACTCCGAGGCAGCCCAGGTGCACCCGCGCGGCCTGGAACACCTCTGCGTTGCTGGACTCGGAGCACTCCAGAACGGTTCCGTCAGCCGTCAGCAGGGTCAGCGCCACCACCTGGCAGCGGGGGGAGAGCCGCTCTTCAGAACCTGGGAGGTGGGGGGGTGGCAGGCAGGGGGCATTTCCTGTGGGCTTCAGGTGATTCCTTCACTTCCCTGTTCATCCTTGGAGGTGAGACCAGGTATTGCCTACTCCTGGAAGATCACTGTCACCTGCTGGGGACTTCCCTGCTGGGTCTACAGTCACAGTTTCGGTCTTGGGGGAGAGAGCAACGGGAAACAGGCAAAGGGGGGTTTCATCTGGATGGCATCAGCCCTCAGCTGGGAGGGGGGCCATCCGTCGCCTGAGGTCCCATGGGCCCTGGTGGCTTGCCCGCCTGTCTACTGCTCCCTGCTCATCCTGTGGGCTTCATTGCCGATACGCACTTAACCTTTCAGCCCATGTCTAAAATGAGACAGGGCTCCGGAGGGCCACGGGGGCCTGGGTGCAGGTCCCTTGGGAAGAAGGCAAAGGGTGGGTGTGCGTGCACCTGGCTAGGGTTGGCCCTGCTGCTCCGCACACGGCCCAGGGCCAGAGTCCCCCACAGCCCCTCTCTGCCCTTGATCCTCTGGGACACCATCTCAGCCAGGCTGAGGTCCGTCCTCTCACCTGGGGACCTGCTCCCCTCAGGAACTAGATTCACCTACTTGGCCACACCCACCCAGAAACTTCTGGTTTCTGCAAAGAGGAGGGTGCTCAGTTAGAAACATCATTAACTTCGGTGTTTTCCCCTTGGTCTCCATTTCCAGAGGAATCCTCTTTCATTGCCTGTTTAAGTACTTCTCCATGCTCTGCTACCTGCTAATTTGGATGGAAATTGCTTTTGACGCGTGTAGTTGCTGTCTGGGTGCTCGGGGTGAGAGAACAGACAAAGCTGAACTAATGCTAATGAACAGCGATGACGACCAGAGAGGAGGCACTGGCAGAAATGGGGCAGGTGGCCATCCGCGGGAGTGCGGACGTCAGGATGATTTTTAGAGAAACCAGATTTTGTCTAAGATCCAGAGTGGTGAATGAGAGCTGGCCAGTGAGACACCTCATCAGGGCCCAGCAAGAAATGAAAGTGGGTGCTGGTTCACTAACTGTGGGACCTTGGCAGGTTACTTAACCTGTCTTCTCATCTGGAAAATTAGGGCAATAACTATCTTAGAAAGAGTATGTGAAGCATCCGGCTGAGGGCCTGGTGCACGGTGGGTATTAAAGATGTCAATTCCCTCCCCGTGCTCCCTGCCAGTGGCATGATGTGTTAAATAAAACAGTGGGGTTCCCCCATTGCCTTCTAGGGGCTGGTCCCACTCAGCTGGGCTTCCTGAGAGGAAGGGCCAATCAAACGCCATGTGCATTTTGATTTGTGGCCATTCAGAATTCTGTGCCATACTCTGCACTTCAGCGTTTTGTAGCAACCAGCTAGACATCAGCCCCAGAGAGGCCAGGACAGTGGCCCGATCTGACCTAGGGATGGTATGGTGCTGACCTTCACCTGCAGGGAGGGCTTCTGGGCAGTGAACCTAGCTCTGTGGGGGCAACAGTGTGTCCACAGAGGGCTCCAAATACCTGGGGATCAGGTCCACAAGGACCTGGTGCTGCAACACGGGTGGGGGTGGGAATGAGCAACACGGCACCCTCAGCCTTCCCCTCTCCTGGCTCCTCCGCCCCTCAAGATGCTCTCTCCGGCCTGGTGCTGCCCTGAGGCTCTTGTGGCAGAAAAGAGAGGGAGAGAGGGACAAGAGAAACCAAGGGGTGTGTCTGGCGCTCAGGAAAAGCCCACGGAGGCTTTAAGGGAAAGTGCGGATCAGGTTTTCCTCACGCGTCTGAGACACCAAACACAAAACAAAGGGAACCCCTTAGAAACCGCTTTCGGGCTGTTTTCTTTTGATCTCAGAGCTGCTCTGAGGCTGGAGCACATGAGACCCACCCAGCTCCCAGAAGCCACGTTCAGACACTGCCTGCTCAGAACCACTGCTGGCGGGAGCCACGGCCCTGGGTGGTGGCCTGGGGATGCTAAGGAACAGTGCGTTCCAACCCCTGCACTTGCCGAAAGTTCCTGGACCACATAGAGTGTGAGCTCTGGAAAGGTCCTTGTCTCGCATGCCAAACCCATCCCAAACACTTGCTGAGCACTAACTGTGTGCACTCTTCTAGGCGCCCCACATCCAACTGCCTGTGATCATCCCCACTTTCCAGGTAAGCAAACCGAGGCAGCAGAGGTAGAGACTTGCCCCAGGCCACACAGATGGTAGTGGTGGCTCTGGGTGCAAAACCCAAGCCCCAGTGCTTAGCTGTGATGCTCCAGGGGCCAGAGGCCACGTGGCCCATAGTGTAAACAACTCTTGCAGGTGGAGACATGTGGTGAGCTATGACATGCTGACCCAGCGCGGGGCACCCTCCCAACGCTGACGCATGAGCAGCCAGCCTCCACGCACACATCCCAGCAGCCTGCACGGTGGTGGCACAGCCTGGCCCTTAAGAAGCCTCTCCTGACACTGGAAGTTGTGATGGAGTCTGCCCTCTGCAGGGCAGCTCCTGACACAGGTTTGGACCTTTCAATCATGAACTGTCCTTGGGTCAGCCATGCGTGCAGCACACACTACCTCATTTATTCTTCCTGGGTGGAGGATTATTCTCCCCATTACAAATGAAAAGAGGGATGTCCAGGGGAGTTAAATAACCTACCTACATGTGCATACCCAGTGCATTTTTGAGGCAGATTTTGTACTCCAGTCTCAGTGCAAAATCCATGTTCATAACCAGTTTCTCAAACTGGACTCCCATGAAGTATAAGAAATGCTTTTCAATGAAAGTCCGAAGGTGATTCCAGCCCCACTTGAGAGGTAGCTCCCCATAGGCAGCTCTGGCTCCTGTCCTAGATGCTCCCAGACTTGCAAACCTGGAAAAGTCCCTTGACCTTCCTGGCTCCCAGCTTGGACCTTTCAATAGGGATGGAACCCCTTGCTCTGCTAGCCCTTTTCCACAGGGTGGCCAGGAGGCTCCTGAGAGGTGTGGGTGCATTAACATGCACGACAGCTCATTCATCACTTGTGTCTGTTGGGGACAGATGAGGTTTAGAGGAGGGGGTGTTCCCAATGGGCATCTGCCATGTCTCAGTCAGAGGGGGAAACGAGGGGAAGGTGTGAGCCACCACTGCCTATGGAGCACGTGATTCCCCCGGCGCTGGTGAAGAGGAGCCCTGCCAGTCCTCCCTCTCCGAGGCAGTCGCGGAGTGTGGCCAAACGGAAGGACTCACCTGGGTGGCCAGGATGCCGTGCTTGATGCCCGTGTTGTGCGTCCCGGACCCAATGACACCAGCTGCGGTCACGTCTGACACGGCTCCCAGGCTGGGCTCAGCAGGAGGGGGCGAGGGGACACACAAGGGACCAGTTAGGCTTCCTGGGGACGGCAGGCTCCCAGGTGGCAGGGGAGGCCCCTCAGAGGAGAACAGTAGGTTCATCTCATCCCAACTTAACACGACTTAGCTTGGCTGGCCTGCCAGCCCTGCTCCTCTCTCAGCCTTGGTTTCCTCATCTCAGTGGCCTCATCTCAGTGGCCTCAGACAAGCTGGCAGGGCCCTGGGAGGTCTGCCTGCCTGGCTCTGGCTCTGGGGTTTCTGCAGCACAGAACATCCTTCTCCTCCGTCCCCTAATAGCGACAAGATCTCACCCACCGAGGGCCCAAACGCTACTGCTAGAACCGGCCTACCAAGGCCTGAAGGTCCCTCTGAGCGGGCCTGGCTCAAGGGGCTCACATGGATGTCCCAGGAAGGTCTGAGGGGGCAGGCACTGCCCTGAGCTGCCAGAGAAGACGACCATGTCACCTACTGTCCAGAAATCTCCAGGGGCTCTTTGGGGTCTCAGGCTAAAGCCCACATCCCTCAGCCCAGAGTCCTAGCCCCTGGAGTGAATCCCAAGAGGACCACATGCACACTAGAGGGCCGGATTCTGAAAGGGGAGCTGTACCCTCCGGAGGCCTCTGGGATGGGAATTAGAGAGATGTGTCCAGATCTCAGGGTTAAGGGAAAAGAGTGGGTCAGGGGTGTAAAAGGCTTCCATCTCAGGAGCTTTCTCTCAGGTACCCCTGCCCTGGCTTAAGAAGGAAGTCAGTATTGACTGAAGGCCTACTAGGTGCCAAGGGGATTGAGCTCTACACGCTAGACAGTAGTTTCATAATAGCCCAGCCAACCTCGGTGCCCAGCCCAGAAACGGGCTCAGCAAAGCGAAGCAGAAGCGGGAGGGCCGGGATCTGAGGCAACCCTGGCCTCAGCACAGAGCGAGGTTCCTCGAGGCAGGCAAGCCCGGGCTCCCCATGACCTACCGACACCCCCCAGGGCTGGAGGATGGGTGTCCTGCCCTGCCTGCAAGGCCAGGAGGCAGGAATGATCGAATCCAGCCTCACACCTTCCTGCTGAGCTGACGCGGCCAGGGGGCTGCCCAGGAGCACCAGGAAGAGGGGAAAGAAGCCCAAGCCCTTCCCAACCTTCCCTCCCCTCCCCCCACTCCGTGTCGGCTCTTGTCTGTGTTCACAGTAGTCGGTCACCTGGTGGTCTCACCCCTTCTGAAAATGCCACAATGTTGAGAGAGGGTCACAGGCCGCCTGCCCTAGGGAAAGCCCGCAGCACGCAGAGAGCGTGGAGATGCCCCTCACAGCATCATGAACACGGAGGAACTGAGCACCCTACACGCCCCCAGAGGCGACGGAAACGGAATCGCAGAGCTTCTTCCGTCTCCATGAACATTACGAGGGCTAGAGAACAATGCAAAGGTACCTGGGCCCACGGTACAAGTAACAGACTGGATAAAAGCACAGCCCTCAGGGAGAAGGGTCAGGCCTTGGTATCAGACAGGGTGGCGACGACAAGCCAGGGGGAAGGTCACTCACCGCCTGTGGAGAGGCCTGGGCAGAGCCAGGAGCCTGAATGAGAGCTACCGAGCGGAGCACTGGCTCTGCGGGGCATCTCTAACTCCAGCCGCCCGAGCTCCCCTATTTTATAGAGCCATTTTCCAAATGAGAACTGCGAGGCCCAGGCAGGTCAAGGAACTCCACCCACAGCTAGGCCCAGGCAGAGCAGGGCCCGCGCACGGGCTGTGTCCGGAGCTGGCTCCGCCCCATCCTGCTGCCCCACCTCTTGGGGAGGCGCCTGGGTCCTGCCTCCTCTGTGCGTAAGAGTTGGCAGCTGTGATGTCGGCAAGCACCCCGACCATGGTTCCCTGGTTACGTTCCCCCAGCCACAGCCACTCTTCAGTCCCCACAGCATCCTTGTGGCTGAGGGCCCAGGTGCCCCTGGGATTCACGGGATGGGACATCCTAACTCCCTTTGAGTGGCAGATGAACCTCATACAGGCGGTCACCTGGGGAGGACTGGATGCCCGGGGAGGGCAGAGACATGCCATGAACGAGGCACACAGATGCTTCGGAGTGCAGAAGCTCATGCCTGTAGTTAACAGGACACGTCTCCTCCTGGTGTCACTGGTCACAGGCACTCTCTGCGGATAGCCCCCTGCACACTCCGCACCCCCCACAACTTCCCTCTCCTGCTCTTTCGTGCATGCTGTTCCCTTTGCCTGAATCCCTTCTCTCCTCTCTTCTTCTGGTAAATACCCGATCATCCTTTAGGACTCAACACAGAGGCCCCCCCCACCGGGGGAAGCGTGCCCCGCCAGTTCTCTTCTCCGCACACATCCCCCTGCCTGCCGCTCAGAGCCCAGGGTGCCCTGAGCGTTTCTCTGACATTGCATCTATTGCACTATACTTGTCACCTGGTACATCTGTCCCCCCCTTGCTGGGAGCTCCTTGCGGGTGGGGTCTGGGTTTTATTTTTTGCCTTTTCTGGGCCCTAACAAGGCCTGCACATGGCAAACACTCCATAAATGTTTGAGTTGCCACGGCCCTTGGAGAGGCAGAAACAGGATGGTTTCCACAGTGAAACGGTGTAGCGATGCCTCAGGGCCTGTGATAAGAAGGCTGGGGTGAACGGATCCCTTAGGCTTGACTACCAATCGCTGACTGCCATGGGTACGATTTCCAGCTGTAAAGAGATCGTTAACTCATATCCAAAACACCTCTGCCACCTGTTTTTAATGGTTGAAATCACACAGTTAGACGCTCACTCATCCAGCTGTGTTTGACTCCTGTTTCAACGGAATTCCTTTGAGCATTCACTAACACCATGTTTAGATGGAGAGACAAGTGAAGCCACAGAGAGGTATACCAGCAAGTCCTGTGGCTTAATCAGCATGCTCTTCTGGTCCTCTGAGAGCTTATTTTGCATATCTGTCTGTTTGGATCCATATCATTTGTTTCAAGTTTATTAAGAAAGACTTAAGCCATCGCTTCCCCCCCCCTCATACAAGACTGTTATTTAACACTCAGCTCATCTCTGGTCTGTTTCTTCTACTCCCACATAACAGCCCCTAGACCCATGGAAGATGGAGAGATAGGTGCCCTATGGGGGAAGGTTAGCCAGAGAAGAGGGGTGCACCCCGGGAGGCACCCCCCTCCGGCTCCTGCCAGATCCTTGAGTGTCAGCTGAGGGCAGGGCAGGGAACGGCAGGCAGCTCTGGCCCACTCAGGAAGGGGCATTGGCTCTTACTTGGACAAGGCCAGGCCATGCTTATTCAGCTGTGGGTGCAGGTCAGCCAGGAGGATGCCAGCCTCCACAGTCACCTGCTTCTTCTCTGTGTCCACCTGCAAGAGACCAGCATAAGCTGGGATGAGCTAGGCCATCACCCGGCCCCCAGCTGGCAGCCAGGGTTCCCGTGAGTATGAGCATGTCCGTCCCAGCCTGTGGCCAGCTTGAGCCACCCCCTGAGCAGGCAGCCAAAGGTCTATGGGCAGAGCCCTAGAGTGCTGGAGCCTTGCGAATACAGTACTGCCCCTTCCACAGGGAATGCCTTCTAGGGCCCCCAGGGGATGCCTGAAACCAAGCACTAAATCCTAAGGTACTGGTTTCCTAATCATGCACATCTGTGATGAAGTTGAATTTACAAACTAGTCATACTAAGGGGCTAACAACAACTAATAATAAAATGGGACAACAACATCCTCTACTAAAAATTATGTGAATATGGTCTTTCTCTCTCAAAAGCTTATTGTACTGTGCTCACCCCTCTTGTGATGATGTGAGATGATAAAACACTACATGGTGACATGAAATGAGGTGGATGGCACAGGCACTGTGTCCTAGCGTTAGGCTACTGCTGACTTTCTGACCGTATGTCAGGACGATCATCTGCTTCCAGATCACAGTTGACCGCGGGTAACTGAAACCGCGGAAGTGAAACAGCGAATAAGGGAGGGCTACTGCACTCCGTGTGACCCCGTAAGGAGCAGGGAAGAGAAGGGGTGTGCCCAAGGCCAGGGGCAGAGCTGGAACTAGTGCTCAGGTCTCCAGACTGCCACAACTACGCCGTCCCCCACCCCACCTAGCCTGGGAAGGTAGGATTCCAGGCACAGCTGGGCAGTCACCCACGGAGGAGGGCCCATTCCCGTTGGAGCCTGACCTTCCTAGAAGGCTCCACCTGCACTCACCCCGGGAGGACTCAGGCAGCCTTGGAACTGGAAGGAGGGACGCGATGTCCTGAGATCCCCACAGCAGCCCTGGGAGGTAGGAACAGTCTCTCTCCATTTCACAGGGAGGAGATCAAACCTCAGGGCCTTTAAGTTGCTCACCTAAGGTTACATAAGCATCCGCAGTGGAACTAAGCTGAGAACCCTGTGTGACTCCAAAGCACGAGCTCATTCCACTGACTCTGAGCACAGAGCTCGGCAAAGTCACTTGCTGTGGCCTGGTCCTCACTCGTTAGCACTCACAGTTCGTTACTGCCCTGACGGATGTCTGGCTGGAATATTTTCTATGAGGTAGAGGCCATTAGCCTGAGCAAATAAAGAAATAACAGAGAAACCCAGAACCTCTGCTGGCTGGGTGGAGGGGAGGTCATCTGGCAAGAATGAGAGCTCAGGGCAGCCGGCCCCGTCAGTGAGAATGCGAGTCCTCTTAGTGTGCAGCGCGCCTGTCTGGCACTCTGACTCCCTGGCAGCCTGGGAGGCTGGCTGAACTGCAAGGACAGAATTCCCAGCCCAGCGCTGGTGTCAGACTCCTGAGTCTACGCCCAGCTCGGCTGCTGATAGGCGGTGTGACCCTAGGAAGCCACTCACTCACCCTCTCTGGTCTTCAGTTACCCCATATGTAAGACTAGTTAAGTGCAAATCCTTCTGGATTCGTCACTGTGAGTCCACCTTTGGGGGCCTGAATCTCTGTCCTTGATCTAGAGAAGTGGGGAGGAGGGCCTGGCAGGAACGGGTACTAGGGGATGAGAGAGTGGGTGGATGGGAGGGCGGTGGGCATCCTCTCCATCTCTCCATGGCCACAAGGTGCACACAGACTAGACGGGAGGCCTGGGAAAGCCCAGAAGGGCCCCCGAGGATGGGTGACCTTGGACTGGCCGGGAATTTGGGTGTCACTTGGGACTCAGGGGCAGGGAGGGGGGCAGGCCTGCGGGAACAGGCTGAAGAGTTTCTGCCTGGGGTCTTGGATGGAGCCCGAAGCTGCCCAGCCCAGCGTGGGGGCCAGCAGAGGTAGGGGGCAGAGGGCTCTGAGTACCTGGAGGACCCGGTTCATCTTGCCCATGTGGATCATGAAGCCGTCCGTGCAGGCGATGTCCGAGGGCGAGTGGCCACCGCCCACCACCTTCACCCTCTTGTTCTGCTGCCTGGCCAGGGCCAGCACCTGCCAACACAGTGCCCGCATCAGCTCAGCCTTTTCTTTCTTACTCCACGAGGCAGAGAGTTCCCAGGACCTGCAGGGGCGGGCCACCCAGGCCTCCAAGGCCCCTTTCTGACTGGAGGCTGCTGCGAGGGCCTCTCCAGGAGAGGCCCAGGCCGAGTGGCTAAGCAGATGGGGAGCCAGGCGCATCCTAAGGGGGCGCCCACACTCCCCGCTGCGGCTGGAGGCTTTTCAGCCAGCAAGCCTCATCACCTCCTTCTCCGGGACAGAACCTCTCAAGGGGCACCCCAGGGCCTTCACATTAAGGTCCCCCGCTGCTCACATTGGCCCATGCGGGCCTCAGTGCCTCCCAGGTTGGAATGTGGGCAGCGACCATGGCTTAATTGGGCTTTGCACCCACCATGCCCACCCGAGGCCTGGCTGAGCAGGCAGTCTCTAGTGATCACTGAGTGAATGAAGAGAGAAAAGCATGGTGTCAGTAAAGGAGTCCTCGCCTTGTGCCCTCCTGTCCCTGCTCAGACATCCTCACCTCTGCCCCACGGAACACTAGTCTTACACGAGGGGTTCCATGAGCACTAAGACCGGGAAGTGCTCTGGGCTCTGGCCTTCCCACCTCCCTGCTCCCCTGACACTGCACGGGGCACGTTTAAGGCTCCAGGTTCCACAGTGAAGAAATCTGTTCCCCACCACCCTCCTCCAGCTCCCTGGACCACACACACTATCTCTGGTTCCCCCTGACCCTACTGGCCCTCCGGGGAAACGGGGGTCTGCCGCAGCCTCAACCTGTGAGTAATGCGCAGCCCTACGGGCTGGCCCAGTTTAGGCCCAGCCCGAGCAAACAGTGTTATCCGCCCACCGAGTTCCTCCCAGGCTCGGAATGCAGCCAGTTGCCTCGGAATCTGCGCCCTCTGATCCATTCAAGGGTGCTCTGCCTTCCCAGGCATCCCTCTGCCCTCCGCCCCGTTGTATCCTCCCCACAGCCCCGCCCCTACGGCTCTCCAGGCCTCCTCCTCCCCGCCCCTCTCTCACAGCGCCCTCTGCTGAACTCCTATTCATGCTCCAGGGCCCAACTCAGTGAAGGCCTTCCCTGTATGTAGCCTTTCCTGCATCAGAAGTTGGGGGCTTTGAAGTCAGACCATCAGTGGTGTGAACCCTGGCTCTAACGTTCACAGTATGGGGAAGTTACAAAGCTGAGCCTGTTTGCTTCTCTGTAAAATGGGGATAAAATTACTGCCTCTAGGGGGGTTGTGAGGGTTGATGGGATGATGTATATGAAGCACGTGGGGCCTAGTTAGAGGATCACTTCGTGGTGACTCTGTTGTCCCTACTGCTGCCCTCTGAGTACACTCACACGCACATATGCACACGCATACACACTCCCTCCTCTGTGCTCTCCTGGTGCCAGTGAACAACCTTGGCATCCTCTGGAGTTAGTTGTATGCACACCTGTCTTAGGTACAAGCCTTTAAGGGTGGAGCTTGGATCTTGTTCACTCATTCATTCAACAGATATTTATCAGGAATACATCGAGAATACAGTGGAAAACAAGACAAGCATGGTCTTGTGTCCTCAGGGGAGCGAGCATGACAATGTCCAAGTGAACAAAAGGACCACACGTTAAGACGATGCGATGAAGGAGACAAGAGGCTGAGACCCACAAGGAGCGGGACATGCTTTGGAGAAGGTGGTCTGAGATCCACTGAGGAGGTGAAGTTTACCCTGAGGCCTAGAGGATGAAAAGGAGTGAGTCAGGGGAAAGTGAAGGGACAGGCATTAAAGGCAGAAGGAACAGCAAGTGCAGAGGCCCCGAGGTGTGAAAAAAGCTTGGTTTGTCTTGTGGACAAAGGCAGAACCTGGTGGCTGGGGGGTAATGAGCCAGGGAGAGGGGACCTAGGGGAGGCCAAGAGAGATGCCCAGCCAACGCACGGCCCCAGCAGGCCTGGTTTTCTCCCACAAACAGTGGAAAGCATCTGAAGGTATTTTAGCAGGGAGGTAACCCAATCCAACTTACATGTTAAGAAAAATTACTTCTGCTGATTGTGGAAATTGCATTCAAGCGAGGTAAACATTGAAGCAGGGAGACCAGGAATGAGATGAACATGGGTCACAGCAGATGAGGAAGGGATGGTGGACTGGGCCCAGAGAATGGCAAGGGTGCTGGAGAGGAGATGGATTCTGGAAACTTCTGGGGCAAGACTTGCTAGTGTCAGATAAAGGATAAAGAAGGGACAGTAACTCCAACCAGCTGCCCTGCGCACAGGTGGGAAAGACTGCTGCAGAACAGGATGACGGTGGAAAAAAAAAACATAAAACATTGAAAATGCAGTTTAGGGCACATGGGTTTGTGACTTTTCTCGCTGTGTGCAACAGTCTGTAAGTCTGAGAGGCTGTGAGTCTGCGTCTGCACTCAGAGAAGAGACCTGAGCTGGAAATGAAAATCTGGCCATCGTTGGCGGCACTGTATGTCACAGTGTGGCTGCTGAGTGGACAGGGGCAGGGAAGGAAGGCCTGGAGTCCCGAACTTACCCGACTTTGTGGAGCCCTCTCCTAGCCAGCAGTTCTGGGATGGAGTGGGGGGTGGGGGTCTTAGCCAGGGATGCCCCAAATCCCAGCCTCCTCTCGGGGCACAGCCTGGTCTATAGGGCCAGATGGAGCTGGAGGTCCAGGGTCCTTGTGCTTTGCTGCGATGGACACTCACCTCTCTGATCTCCTCCACAGATGTGGGCTGATAGTACATCTCGGGGCAACAGCCGTAAGTCTTCGCCCAGTTTTGGAACTTGACTCCTTTGTACCCATGGACCTGGGACAGGACCAAAGCTGGGTCACCACAGATGGGGGGCAGCAGGCTGCCCTGACGCCTCCCCAGTGTCCTGCCACCGTAGAGGTGGGAGGCAGAGGCTGCAGCCCCGAGCCGCTCAGGCCCACTGGGAGATTAAACCCGTGGCGGAAGCCCCTAAGGCACCCCGCCCTGAGGGGGCTTCCTGTTAGTGCCCCTTGCTCCCTCAGGGCCAGATGGGCAGATCACACCGAGAACCCCGCCCGTTCTTAGAAGGGATGAGGTTGGGGTGCAGTCCAAGAAAGCTGGACAGAGGGCTCCTGCCCCAGGCCAGGGCACATCTCTAGGGAGCCAGGGAAAGGTGTGCTGTGGCTGAGTGGGTGACCGAGGTTGCGGCCACATGAGCTGGCCGGTGGCCCTGGAAGGACTTGGAACTGGCCTTCAGCTTCCCCACCAGGCCTTCCCGCAGAGAGCGGGCCCACCCAGACGACTCTGCAGCAGCCCTTCTGGCCTCCAACCGCTGCCCCGAGGCCTGCGGATAAGCCTCCCATTTGTTGGACACCAGCTGTGTGCCAAGCACTGTGCTGGGAACCCCTATATTTTGTGTCTTATTTAGAACTTACAATAATGCCATGAAATAGCATATTCCCATTTTCACTGAGGCTCAGAGAGGTGAAGTAACTTCCCCAGACTCACAGAGCACTAAGTGAAAACACCGGAGTCCAACTGCGGCCTTCCTCGGCACCCTGGTGCCTCCCCAGAGCCTCACGGCCAATTCAGCAGGGTCCCCATGGCCTCCCCTTGGCCCCAGGCTTGACCCGATTTTGCCCTTCCACGCCTGGCTCATGGGCCCTGCCTGAACACAGCCCTGCTGGGCTCAGTGGCCACGCCACGGGGCCCTACCATGGCTGCAGCGGTGTGTCAGAGGCCTTGGCTGACTCTGGCTTCCTCCGGGAACGGCACTGGCACTGGAAACGGAGACACTGCTGCAGGGCGAGCAGGCAGCACAAGACCTTGGAGCTCAGGGCCGACTCCGCAATTGCTGCGCACAGAGGGGCTTGGCCCCGGGAAAGGTGATTGACAGTATTGCAGACAAGCTCCACCCAGACAAACAGAGGCTCAGGCCTGCCCCGGGCCCCCAGGCCCCTCTCAGGCAGCAAGGTTGGAAGGGCAGAGTTTAAGAGATAGCTGCTGTTTCTGGAAGCTGCTTGAGCTCTGACCCCAAGTCTAAGCATCTGGAGCCAAGATATCACCCAGCTTTAACCGGGTCCTTAGGAGCGGTCAGAAGAGGCTGTGACGTGGGAGGTCTGTGGAGCTCTTAATGTGGGGGCTCCCGCAGTGCCCAGCTTGGAGGGGGCATTCGTGGCACAGCTGTGCAGCTGAAATCTGCACCCCTGTGCTAGCTCATCAGTCAGACCCGGGGAGGCACACGCCAAGCCACACACCACTGCAGGAAGACACAGCAGGATGCTGGCGGCTGCAGCATGGGCTGGGGGAGGGCAACAAGTGACACTCGGCCTAGGCAGAGTCTTCCTGCAGAAGTCTTCCCTTCCCCCTACTTTAGGGCACAGACCTGGGTTGTTCATCCATGCTTTGCTGAATAACCTCTGCGAACCTCACTTCCCTTCTTAATAGAATAGGGCCATGTTTGCCTAATTCCCTGGGTTGCCACCAAAGTTCCAGGAGACATGTGAGAAGCACCAGGACACACTCGGAGCTTGAAATGGTAGCAAGCTCTGCACATCTGTCCCCAGCTGCAAGTCTGCAGGTAGCAGGATCCTTGGGACACAGTTGCCCATACACAACTCCCAGCTCTGTGCCTGGCCCAAGGCCAGAGCCCAGTGCATGCTTGTGCAACAAACAAATTAATAAGTCACCGAGCACCTTGGCTTATCAGATCGCTCCAGGCCAAGAGCTAGAGTCGCGTGGGAAGCGTGAGCAATAGCTCTGGAGCTTTGGAGGAAAGGCGGGGGTGGTGCAGAGCTGGAGGTCAGATGTGCACATGGGAAGTCCTGAGACAGGGAACGGGGGGTCTGAGTCATACCTGTGTCCCCCAAACCAGGATTTCTACCAAGTCACACCCTGAGACAGATGCACCTGCCACAAGGCGCGGGCCATGGCCACGTGCTCCCCACCAGGAAATCTCAGCTAGCACAGGGGCTGCAAGCCAAGGAGAGAGGCCTCAGGGGAAAGCACCCTGCTGACAGCTTGGTCTCGGCCTCCCAGCCACCAGAGCTGTGGGAGGATGCATCTCTGCTGAGGAAGCCACCCCTTCTGCGGTACTGTTATGGCCACCCCAGCAAATTAATACAAGGTCCACAAGGTCCTGAGTTTCATGTCTCCACTGAGGCCTTTGTGAGAAAGAAGAGCGAGCCTGGGCCTCTCGCCTGGGCCTCTCACCTGAGCCTGTTCCCCCAGGGCTGCTCCTGATGGCAGAGGCAGGGCCTGGGCCCAACACAGCTGCCAGCTCAGTGTCTGAGGGAAGACAGCTGGGAGCTGTCTTGGGGCTGAGGCTGGAGCAGGCCCCCCAAGGGGTTGGCTGCGGTCCCTGCTCCCCATTCATTGTCCAACACCCTGTAAGGGGTCCTGGGGGCTGTGGCCAACACCTGCGCTCAGCCTGGGGGGCAGAGAGGCCCATGGCAGGGAGGGGAGTGCTGAGCCACAGACTGGTGTTCTCCCCGATAATTACATTGTTTCCCTCAAGCCCTATCCCCACAGTGTCAGGAGAAGTAGGTCCTGCTCCCACCGACGAATGCCCCTTTCAGCTACAGCTGGACTCAGGTTTCCTCCTTCTGTAAATGCATTCTGCTCTGGGACATTCCAGAAGCCGGGCTCCACGGCTGTGTGGGTGGGCCAGGGCTGTGCCCCAGAACTCCCCGGGGGGCTCCCTTCCCACCCTGGCTGGGCTTCCCAGCGCCTGCAGTCACAGACCAGGTTTCCTTTCTGTACCCCTTGCAACTGCCCTTGACAGAACGCATCCTTCCCCACCTCCCAATCCAGTCACATCAATTATATAAATGGCATTTACTGAAAAAAATGACACGGAAATATAAAATTCAGCAAAACGGTGTCTTATCATCAGTTAATTCAATGTGCATTGCAATTATCCCCTGGTTGAGGTCGATAGGTTCTTGTTTATTTCTTCTTGTCTGAAGGACTCAGCTTGTTCAATAGCTGCTGAGCCTTAACTTTTTCAAACATTTGTCAGCAAGGGAAATTAATATTACCGTTTCAATGGTCACCGAAGCTTGCTTTTCGATCTTTTCCCCTCCCATATTTGTTAATCAGTGAGAACAATTGGCTCGATATAAAATCTGTACCTGTGAAGGTAGAGCGCGGACGTGGGACAAGCATCACGGGTAACTTTTCCTGCCTATGATGAAAAATGCCAAGATATGAACAGTGTAGTAGGAACAGGAGGGGCCCCATCTTCAGGCTAAGGTTCCATTTTAAAAATCCACGGAGTTAGGAGGTAAGATTCCTTACATATTTTATGGTAATAAGCCAACAACTGACCTTATCTTAAAGCAGGACAAGTAGTCCTAGATGCTGTGTTCCCAGTGCTGGAGGGTCACCACTATCTTGGAGAACAGGATCACTGAATTCCTGTGTTCAGTTTATCTTACAGAGTATCTAGAGGACAGACTGTGGATGGTGACATAACGTCCCTCACAGGAGAGACATCAGACCACATGCTAAGCCTGACCCTCTGTCCCGCTCTTGAAAGCCGTGAAAGACAGAATCCCAAGCCTCCAGGGGCGCCTGCCCTCGGAGCCGCCCTCACTCCCCTTTCCCCATGCGTACTTTTTGCCTTGAAGCAAGCCTTCTCCCTGCACAGCTTGCTGCGTTTCGTCTGAGCTCCTGCAATGGCAGATGTCTTGTCGTTTTGCTATTTCATTCAACTTTCTAGACTTAAGTACAAGTCTTTACTCTCTCTGTCCTAGTTCAGACAAGTAGGGAGGGGCTGCTGAGAGCTCTGATTTGGGCTTGCAAGTTCCAGTCACCTGGGTGACTCGGACAGGACTGCAGCCGGACGATCATGCTCTTCAGTAGCCTGCCCTAAAATCTCCTTTGTTTTGGGGAGTTCTCAGAACATCATCTCACTCCACCCAGTGCTCTGCAGCTCCCCCAAACTTGGGGTGGCAGGGGCTTAGTTCCCATGCCCTGCAGATTCAAGAGAGCACTGGACGCCAGGTGACCTGGCTTCAGGAGTTGGCAAGGGAGCTCTCCTATGCCAAGCAGTTCAATGAGCTTCCCTTTCCTCCCCCTGCACCTCCTTGCTCTAGAGAGCTGCCCGCAAAGCAGCTGCCATTTGCTGCTACTCTCGCTCTAATGAATTCCTTCCTTACCTACACTCATCAGACCTGATGGAGAATTCTTCCTCCTTCAGAGTCCAGAACCCTTCCCCAACCACGCTGAGGTTTCACCCAGGGCCCAGGGAGAGACCTCCCCAGACGCAGCTGCCCGGCAACACCTGGGAGCTTAGTGCTTCCTTGAAATCTTGTGACCATTTGGAAATGCTTAACAATTTCTGGTCTGCAGACATCACTTCCTTGTCCCACTCAGCCAGCTGATTCTCTTTAAAATGTGATGTAGGGGATAAAGTTCATTCCACGCAGAAGGCTAAGTGGATGGCGCTGATGAAAACGTCCCCTGCTGCTGGAAGTTCCTTTTCCATTTGAATCCAGGGTAGCTGATGGAGAGAATGACCAAAATTTCCATTCTCTCAATCTATTCAGATGGCAACAAAGACCACTGTTTGGGGGCTTTCTTTGCAATTTTCTTACTTTGAGCTACATAAACAAAGAACTGTGTTTATCACTGGAATTCTGATGCAGACTGAACAGTCACACCTCCTCCCAACGCTGGTGCTCCCTGCTGGCCCTTTTCCACTAAGATGGAAAACAGGGATGAACTGCTTAAGAAACATGCGTTAAGTCCTACCCCAGGGCCTTTTAAACTTAAAGTTAATTTTTTAATTTCTTTTGATTAATTTTTAATTACTTTCGATTAATTTTTTAAAAACTGAAAGTGAGCTTTCCATGCAGGGAATGGCAGAGAATATTTGCAAATCCTATTATCTTGTAAAGGGTTAACAACCAGAATACATAAAGAACTCTTACAACTCAATAGCCAAAAAAACCCACACACCTGACTTGAAAATGCGCAAAGAATTTAAACAGACTGTCTGTCCAAAGAAGATACACAAATGGCCAATAAGCACCTGAAAAGATGCTCAACGGCACTAAGGATATGCAAACCAAAACCATGTTAAGATACTACTTCATACCCACTAGGATGGCTATTATCAAAAACTCAGAAAATAACAAGCATTGGTGATGATGTGGAGACACTGAAGCCCTTTGTGCGGCTGGTGGGAACGTAAACTGGTGCAGCCTCTATGGAAAACGGTGTGGTGGTTGCTCAAAAAATTGAACACAGAATTACCATATGATCCAGCCATTCCACTTCCAGGTACATAACCTGATGCACTGAAGGCAGGGACCCACAGAGGTATCTGAATACCCAGGTTCACAGCAGCATTATTCATCAGAATTAGCCAAAAGGTGAAAGCAACCCAAGTGTCAACCGAAGGGCCACTGGCAGATGATTGGATGAACAGAACATGGCACAGACCAACAATGGATATTCACAGCCTTAAAAAGGAAGGAAATTCTGATACATGCACAACATGAGTGAAGCCTGAGGATCTTTACTAAGGGATGTAAGTCATTTACAAAAAGACAAAGACTTATATGAGGTCCCTAGAGCAGTCAGATTCAGTTAGTAAAAATGTGGCTTATATGGTCATTGCCCTGGGTCACATATTTGCCTTTCAAACAAGTCCTTTAATTTCTCAGGTGCAAAAGGAAGGAGGTGATGGTGGTGTGGCTGGACATTTAAATCCCTCCTAGGCCTTGTCCTGGGAGAAAGTAGAAATTTTAAAGCTAATACTTCTGCAGCACTCCCTCCGAGCCCAGCACCAGTCTAGGGCCCTGCATACAGGATCATTTGATACTTACAACCACCTGGGAGTTCAGTACTATTCATGTCCCCTTCATAGATGGGGAAACCGAGGCACAGGAAACCTCTCTTCAGTGTTACATAGTGGTACGTGGCAAAGCAGGAATCTAATCCAGGTAGTCTGCCTCCAGATTTAGAGCGGGAAGGTGTTTGGCAGAAGCTCAGCCCAGCCTTTGGAAACAGCGTAAGTCGGAATCATGGCAGTGCCCCCAATTAGCCAGATGACCTTGGGCAAATTACCTGAACCTCAGTCCCCCCGCTGGTTAGATAGGAAGAATAAGAGATGGTACAGGCTCCGGGCACACAGGAGTACTTATAATGAGAGCTGCCAGCAGTTCTAACCTTTCCCTTGACTTCTACACTCACACAGGCACACGTACCCTTTCTGCCTGGTGAATTTATACTCATTGTAATTAAAAATTCAGCTTAGAGAGACCACCTTCTTCCCAAGACGTCCCTGAGGAAAGTGCAGCGAGGCTGGCATGTGTACGTGTGTGAGCTGAGCGCCCCATGCTGGGGGCATAGGCAGGAAGGGCATGTGACCTGCCTGGCCCAGGGACTTGGTGGCCCAGGAGCACTGCAGGCAAAAGGAGCCACAAGCTCAGGCAGAGTGTCAGGGAGACTCGGCAGGGTGCATGCAGGGACCCGAGCACCGTGACAGTGACACTGGAGGGCAGTTAAGATTCATGGGGCCAGGCTGGGGCCGAGGGGCCAGGCAACGCATGGGCTTTATTCTGGGGGCAGTGGGGAGACCAGTTAGGAGGCTGCTGGGCAGATGATGAGGGCCTGACGCTAGGAGAGTGACCAGTGTGTGAGGCACAGTGAGATGTGGTTCTGCATGTCGCAGAGGCAGGTAAGGCCAGAGGGAAGGTCTAGATCTGCCCTGGGGCCACTGGCCAGAATTTAGATTTCAATTCATCAAAATTAAACAAAATAAAAAAGTCACTTAATTCTCATTTGCTACATTTCAAGTACTGAAGATGTGCATATGTACGGGAATGTGCTGTGCTAGGGCGGCAGGGAGGCGGGGCGTGTGGCGACACGTGACCAGTGGCTGCTCTGTCCGACAGCATAGAGCTCTTCTAGCACCTCAGAGAGTTCCACAGGTCTGTGCCGGTCCAGGTTCGGGGGCGCCTGCACACTCAAGAGCAGGGGGAAGTGAAGTGTGTTCATTCAAATGCAATGGTTCTTTGAACACCTTCCTCCCCAGAACACAAACAGCAGGGTCAGGTGCCTTAGTTTTATTGAATCAAGGAGTTCCAATCTCTGCTGAAATGCTTCAAAACTAACTGCTGATTTGGCTGCAAAATTATGAGTGGGTTGGTCAGAGAAACCACCCCCAGCCACCCCATCCTATCCCGCCAAAACATATAAACCATTCTTAGAGATAAACTGATGCATTTATACCTAGACAGTTAATCACATGTGATTTTTCCTGTGTCTAAAATTATGTCAAATTTGACTCACTTCAAAGAAAACCACTGTTGGTTACAAACCCCTTCTGAACAATGCCGCTGTTCATGAGAGATGGAGGTGAGGCCCTATCTTAGGTCCAAGATGAGGGGGCTGAACACCTGCTGGGGGCTGGCACACCACACACCCTAGAGCTTTGAGGCCACCAGTGGATCCTTGGCATCGGTTTCCAGCCACTCAGTGAGGATCTGATTCAACTCGGAGGGCCTGGGAAGAAAATAAAAGACAATTCACACCTGTCTGGATCTCACACTAAGGCAGAGGGGATGAGTGAGGAGCTGACCCTTTTGAAAGTGAACAGGGAGTTGTGACCCTCCACCCAAGACCCCCTTCTCCCAGTCTCCTTACTTCTCCATCTGTGTCCAGTGTCCACAATCTTTAATGTGTCCCCTTTTCAGGTGGGGAATCTGGAAGAAAAATTCCACCCAGAAGAGTAAATGGCAGAACATAAATGCATCTGGTTCCAGGTTAGTGTAAGAGGTACTGGGGAACCCCTGCCAAGAGCTACCTTCCTTTCCCCCACCTCAAACCACTCCCCTGTAAAACTGGCATTGGTTAAGACAGGAATGACATTTAAGCTTCTACTATATGCTGGGTACTCAGCACATACTGCCTTATTTAACCTGGACCATAATCCTGTGGGGCAATATGAAGGCTCAGAGAGGTGAAGTAATTTGCCCAACGCCACACAGTGCGGCTGAGCTAAGATTCAAATACAGGGCTTCCTCGTTCTCATCGCAACAAACTGCCTCCCTTTGGAATTGTTAAGACTCAGCTGCTTCACTGCCTGGAAAAGGTTTGGTCATTGTTTGGCTCTTGCCACGCAGACGTGACTGCGTCCCCGTCCCAGGCTGTCTCCCTCCTCCCTGGTGGTCAGCATGCAGGGCTGTCTGGCCTCCCTTTGGAAACTGAATCCCCCAGCGGGTCACAGTAACAAGCAAAGAGGGCTGAGAGGGGGCAGCCGTGTCACACTAGGCACACGTGGGTTCTTGCCAGACACAAGCCTTGAACCATAACAGGATACAGAAAATGCTGGGGGGGAAAATGTGGCTTTCGTTCCAGGGGCAGGAGCTGCCCCTTCTCAGCACAGTAAACCTCAGTGAGATTGGCCATCAGCTGCAACGGCTGGAAAGGGCCAACTAAGAACTTGAACTTCTACAAAAACCTTCAAGGGTTACTTAGGACCAGAAAGGTAAGTCCCCTGCAGGCTGATAGCTTCCAGCAGCCTTTCCTGCAGCCCCTCCTCAGCTGGCTGCCAGGCATCCTTGGCAGCCTCCCTCTAAACACACTTTCTCCGTTAGGCCCTAATGATGCGAACACAGCTGCAGCCAAGTGTGAACTCACAGCTCTCAGCACCTAGGGTACATGAGCCAGCCTGCAGTCACCCCACCTGCAGGCCTCCACGATCCCTACCAGCCAGAGTGAGCCCCCCACCCACAGGTTGCACACCTGTCACTCCCCCTCCATGGCTCTCATTCCCCTGGGTCTGCACAGCCCAGCCTGGCCCAGCAGCGTCATCAAAAATTTGTAGCCTCACCGAGCTCCTGCCATTCTGAGACCAGCACGCCACTCGCCTCTCAGTGCCCTGTGTCCTGCTCCCCTGTCTCGCTGCCCAGCAAGCCTTGG